CTGATCGGCAGCGTTTTCCAGTCATGCTCAAAAAAGTGTTGCAGGGTCCCTTTAATGAAATCTACTCTACAACTTCCTAATCTGGCCCCTACAATAACAATTTATCGCATGTCACTCTTTCACAAAAGTATCCATTCCTTTCTGCAGCACCAGCCACTTTTTGCAATCTTTTCTTTCGAAGACAAACCGAGATTGGATCTGCCTTCCCTTCCATTGCTGCTACTGAGGACCAAGGGCTGTTTAAGACGGCACTTTCGGAACCCTTCATGGTGTGACTGCAGGCTAATGTTCTTTGTTTTATTTTGTTGTTCTTTCATCTTTTTTTACTTTATGATTTGTTGTATCTCCTTTTCTGCCGTCATGATCATTTTCGCCGCATTCATATTGTACCCACCCCCTCTGTAACACCTTCTGGGCCTAGAGGGTATACTAAAGACTAAAAAAATTAATATATGGTATTTTCATGTATAAAAAGGGGGAGGGGGGCAAATCTTGCAAAGCCACCCAAGGCTTGAAACAGTGGATTCAATAAAGCCGTCGCGCTGATAAGACAGAGACCACAGAAAGAGGACAGAACGTGTTCTGCACGCGCAACTGTATCTTTACTTCGTAAACATGTTGCACTTATAAAGCAATGAAGGCGGCGAATAATACCAGAAATTTGCATCTCAAACGCAAGCCTGCATCATTAAGATACGCGATTCTCTTTGCGCTCACAGCAATCGAGGGCGCGCTGACCGAATTGTCATTTTCTATTCAACTAGGCCTCGACAATCTCTGGTGTATTCTTATCACAGTTGCTATTTAGAAATATACACACTCATCACGGAAACGAGATCGCGTATCTGAATGATGCAGGCTTGTACTGCCGATAAGGTTTTTTTCTTCTGTTATTTGCTGTTTTCTTTGTTGTGCAACGTGTTTCCGAAATGAAGATGTGGCTGAGAGTCGCGCGCGTCCTGTTCTCTTCCCGAGATTTCTTGCCTTATCGGTATGGCTTCACTGAACGTAACAAATCAACTATAGCCCAAAAGTCTGTTCTCTTGAAATAGTGGAACTGCGAGATTCTCAAGTTATCGGTTTGCTTTGTTTCTAGGCCTTACAAAAGCGATGCAGGTTGTTTTCAGGTGGCTTCTAGATCACTGTCAAGCTTTAGCAAGGTGATGCTGGGTTGTTTTACGTTCGTTCCCAGCGCACAGAGTTCAGTCGATGCTCCACATGCAGTCGCAGAAACGACACAGATGCCCGAATCCCAGAGAACGGAACCATATGCAAGCGTTCGCACGCAACCTCTCGTTGATTTACGGGTACGTCATCATTGTCGTAGGCCCTCCATCGCTTCAAGTTCTTCCCGCAGCCACCATTGCTTTTCCCGTCATCTTCTCTTCTGTTGATCCTAAGTGCTCAGTGTCTTCGACTCCCTGCCGCTGCTTCGCACCTATTTATTTGTTGGGCTAACTGTTAACTTTTTGCCTTTAGTGGGCCAGTTGTCCCAGCGTTCGATTTTGCGATATTCGGGCACCTTCGGGTTGTCTCGGGTTCTCCACACACGTGACAACGAAGCTGTTTTCTGTTGAGATCGGAACTAGCTGACTAACCCTCTGCCAGAGAGCTGCCAGAGGCCTGAAAATCAAAGAGCCCCAGCGGTCATGGAGAAAAGAACCAAATCAATGCATCTCCGCGAAGTGAATCATGACGAGTGGGCGAAGCTCTAGGTATCGTCATGGTCCCTCAATAAAAGTATTGAGGGACAATGGTATCGTATTTCTGAGTAAATGTATGTTACCGGAGCATTACGCCATATAATTTAGTGACATAAAGTGACCTAAAGTGATTTAAAGAGTACATGACAAAGCTAAATCCTAAGGTTTATAATGTCTACATGGAAGTAGCCCTAGCATAAAGGGTTAATTGGTACGTATTTTATATTGTTGTGTCACAATTAATGATATTAGTCCAATTTTAAACCTTTTCTTTTATCCGACATTACCGTACGGAGAGAGCACGCCTAGCGTGCACAAGCCAACCACTTCTGAAGGTGCTTGCTCTTCGTGCTCGTGCTCATTTCCCATTATCCTCCTGTGTGCCTTTTTTGGTGGGCTTATGAACAGAAACTAACACTGATGAGTGTGCACCTAACGTGCAGAAGCCAACCACTTCTAAAGCCACTTCCCCCTGGCTCTTCACACGCGAGCTCACTTCGCAGCAGTTGTTGCGGAATGGGCACGTTGGTCTATTTCATTAAAATTCCCTTCTGCGAAATCGGGACATGCCTCATTCTATTCCTTGAGATTCCCTGGAATGAAATAAAAAACAGCCCATTCTCACTCCGCAAACGACCTGAGTTTAATTCCATTCTTGTAATTCCTCAATGCAAGAAAGACATTGTGATAGTTTCACTGAGTTAAGAATGGACACCACATAAAGCTGATGTCATGTCATATGAATTAAGAACTGCAAAAGTACGCAAAACACATAACCAAGGTCGAGGAATAGTAGCTTGGCGACATATATCTGGTGCAGTTTAGGGCAAATGCGCTAATGTGCCTACACAGGTGGGACAATATTTCAAAAGGAAGGGGGAAGGTGAGAAGGCGTGCAAACCTGGCAGTGAACACAGGCATCGCACCAGCATCAATATTGCCACACTCCTTCCTCAAGTTGTGTTACCGCCCCATTGTACTGTCAGTGCTTCTCAAAGCAAACTCCACCTGCAGTGTTGGAGAAGCTTCAGGACTGTAGTAGATTGTTTTGTTGAGATATTACGCCCACTCGTGAACATTACAGACTATTCAGGAACCTGCATGGCTGCTAGCGATAAAGCTAGAATATTCGACGGCATGTGTAGAAATGCCAAAGCGTGCGTTCATTGCCTGTCCGTTGATCAAAATCCAAGGCTCTGTTTGCTGCTGTCAGTGTCAGTGTGCATTGCTGTAATCTGACCATCCGTGAAAGGCCACAAGTGCGACCCAAATAAACAGATTCATTTTAGCTGTGCCGTCTCTTCCTACGTCAGCACCACAATCCCATGACAATATGCATCACAACTTCGAGAAGAGTTTTTTTGAAAATGCGTCAGAGTTGCCGATGGCGACAGAAGCAAAAACAAAGGAGGGTGGGTAGATTAGACAGACAGCAGGACAGATAAAGATAGATATGTGGCTACCGTACCCTTTGCATCGAGTGGATTAAGTATGAGTGTCCTAGTCGAATTGTAAAAAAAAACAGAAGCCAGGTGACTAGAGCACTGCCAAGGAGAAAAAAATCGCAAGGCGAAAGCAGGGTATGCCATCATAGTTCTGCACAATGGATACCAATGGCACAGACCCGTAACACTCAAATCATTTGGGCTTGTTGGATAATACTTGGAACATAATGCGTGGTTGAACCTGTCCTGCATACATCTGTTTTTTAGCACAGCCATGCATTATGTTCCAGGGATGAGTGACAGTTATGCAAGTACTACATACAAACTTTGGAGCAACACTCTATATAAGGGCAGAGTGGTTCAAGGCACATTGCCTATAAATGTACCATGCATGTAATCAGCCAAGCGATATAAAAAATACAAGAATCGGACTTAAAAATGTTTGAAAAACAAAAGCACGCTCTACTTTCAAAAAAAAAAAAAAGCGTAACTCCATTTCCATTCTATTTTTTCGAGCATTGTTCCCATTCCTTTCTGGGGTCACGAAATTGTGGTACGATATTGAAGTCATGCCAATTCCAAAGGGGCAGCTCTGCAACCCTGCTTCCCAGCATGCTCCTTTTATTTTTTTATGGCTGGGCTTCAAAATTTCCACGCGACACTCTTAGCTTTCTTCCTTCACATTAGTGGCATTTGCCAAATTTCTTCGGTACATTCCCGTTTATGATGATGAGTTGCCCGACAGGCCACAAAGCGAGATAATTATAGAGGATAGTCTTCTGCAATAGACTTGCAAGGAGCGATATGCTAAGCAGCTTTGTTAATAAGCTTTCAGGGTTAGAATAGAGTGCTCATCACTGCGAGCCCTCTATTGTAAACAATTATGGCTCGGAAGAAGTGTCTTTCTCACTCATGAAACTGGTCTTCACAGTAAAGCAACTCTCGTATCCAGTTTAGTATGGCCAACCGGATGTTTAGCACATTGTTGTTAGAATTTTATTTTTACCCATAAGCATTCGTAGCATCTTGTCTCTGGGGGAGGGGGTGTAAACCCGTGTTGCATCGCTGGTGTGACTTTGGGGGGAGAGAACAGGTACAGTTTTTGCTTGAGGGGTTTGGGAGACGAGTTTTCCTTTTGCACTCTCGGGAAGAGTCCCGTCTTTTCAACTGAACACGACCAGGGACTTCAGCAAGTCTAAACTCACTGAAAGGTATGTGGGAAAGAAGTAAAATTTAAGGGCAGATTTCTTTTGTTACGCAATAATAATGAGAACTAACAGACAATGATGTCGAGAAAAGTATAGGGGCTGCGATTAGAACTAACATAAATGGAGACAGAAAAGATAACGAAACAATAACTTGCCACTGGCAGAGACCAAACCTGTGACCTTTGAATAATGAGGCAGATGCCCTACTACTGTACTATTGCAGCGGTCACTTATAGGGCATGTACGTGCATTTAAATGGGAAGGCATTATCAGTCAGCAAGCAGTTACCGCAAATGTGGGACACTCATCCTGCCTCTTGGCATTGCGTTGCACCTGATCTTGTTGCAAGCTGGCAGCTGAACAAAAAACCTCGTATATGTACTACTTGAAGGCATCAAGTCTGCCAGAACGGCACTCTCCCTACAAATGAAAGAAAAAAGTATGAATTTAACGGCTAATTTTTTTTGTTAGATACCACGTTATGTAATTAAAATTAACACAAAAAAATGTAACAAACGTAGAGGGGATGCCACTAGAAGTAATTGTAAGGAGATAACTTGCCGTTGGAAAGAATTATCAATTTGAGAAAATGGATACGCTTATTCAGTGCATGTGGTGAGAAAAGACAGAGCACATGTGAAAGCAGGTTTCGGCAAAAACTAGACAATTTATTAGCTTTCATGTTTAACTGTACAATGTGGCTCCACAGGAGCATATAACATATTCAGTGGCTTGAATGCCCTGACGAACGCATGGACCACATCTAGCATTCGTTTTTTTTTTTTTTTTTTTTTTTTGCTCCAAATGTGACCAAGATGTGTGAATTCCCTTCAAAGCAACAGTTGAGTGGAATATGAAGTCAAGTTAGAATACGAACATATTTCTCTAGAAACTATTACTTTTTCACTAAGACAATGTCATCTTTGCATAGCACATTATCAAATGTTTCATCGTCACTGCTCATTTCTGAACCAGTGAGAAAATTAACGAGTTGATGCAGTCTCTCCATCAAACTTAACGACTGTGCTGCTCTTAGTATTGCACCATTACAGAAGTCTCATAAGCAGCCTAACACGACAGTGCCCACCTATAGATTCTAAATTGTCACCTTTTCAAAAAAGCATTACAAAAGAGTTTTTCCCACGCAAACTTCATCAATACAGAGGCTTATCCTTATATCTAGCTTGACTTCATACTTTCCTGAAGTGTCACTTTAACGAGCTATGGAAACAAAGTACAAAAAAATACTAAGGCACACAGATGACAAAAAATGATTTTTCTAGACCAAGCATGAACAACTAAAATAACCCATTGGCAGCTGCTCACACTTCCTAAGATGCAAAAGCATGTGTAGTGGTCTAAATGGCAAGCGAGATGATGTATCCATGCCATTCGTACGCTATCACTCTTCATGTCTCAAGTCTGCAGTAGTCAAAAGCACAGCGGAATCAAAACCTTCCAGGACAGCACAGAGGCAAAATACCTGGCACAACATATTGAAATTCATTCAAACACCTCAGAAGGAACTGCTTAAAATTCAATAAGATCAAAATTTCGCCAGAAAGCGTATATCTATAAAAACGAGGCCCACACTTTCAGTGAAGTATTGATTTCTGCTGTGTGACAGTGATGCTATCGCTTTTTAACCAACATTTGCTTGCTAAGACATGCAATCAGACTTTTCAACGAGTGGCCAGTCGCAGCTCGAAACTGATGCTTTTGCGTTGACTGCGTAGTCTTGCCTGTTCTCAGGCCTATCACAATGCCATTTATGTGCGACACCACAGTTCTTTGTGCCAATACTGCATGAAGACACACTGTGCAACACACGCACTTTGCTGTGCTCTTAAAAAGCTGCAGGCGTCAAGGATAAAAAAAATTAAAGTATAAACAATGACGAGGCATCAGATATAAAATTAATTGAACTAGAAACAACGGTGAAGCATCAAATGATAACTAAATGAAAAATAAAAATCACTAAAATAAAAGAAGTTTTTTCGATGACCCCATGCTTGCAAAGTATTGCTCGGTCTTTTTCTTTCAGATTGTCACGACAGAGCTCAGCAGCCCTTGCACAGACAGTGATCAGAATCGCCACAATACATTTAAAATGTCTTTTTTTCGTCAACCCATAGAAAGCAACAAGCCTGCAATGACAACATCGTCGACTAACATAAACGCGACACCGTTTGACCCTGTGGGCCGGTTCTCCGAACCGACTTCCCTTGTAATCGCAGCACTTCACGCATCTTTTTGTGCGCACGAAATCCTCGCATTTCGCACATGTTCGGAACGAAATTGAAGTATTTCGTATGGACGGCCACATACAGCGTTCGCAGTTCAAAACGTGTGCCATATCTACGAGTTTCACAAAAAAAAAATAGGAGAACTGCGGCTTTCTCTTTCGAAAGACGGTAGTCTTCTAGAAGTCGATGTGCAGTACTCGTAGTGTCGGTACGAGCAGAAAAAAAAAATACACTCCCAAGGCACCGGCTTGGTTTGCGTGGCCCCGACCCTACAAGGCACGCAGTGTGTAACTATGAATTCACACTCGGGACGGAGAAGAACGCGCAAGTCTCTTTGTACACAACACGTGTATGTCCAGGCACGTGCGCTTCAGACAATGGGCTTCACTTCGAGTAGCTGCGGGTGGTTCTCGATGATGTTGAGGAGGATTCCGTCGATGTACGCCCGCAGCCTGATGTTGTCCTCTTTCTCGTGTTTCACAGTGTCTATCAGCTGCAGGAGAAAAAGTGCGTGTTATCACTCGGGGATATTTTAGTGACCCGAAACACACTTCACCATTTCCTGTATCAAACACAACTATCCTAGAGTCTTGCACTGAATGCGTGCGTCTGCACTAAAGGAGCGTCTAGCGCTGAATTAGTGACGTAACCACAACATGCCCATAAAGCAGCATGCGCACCTGCGCAGTTTCACACATCGCTGATGTTGCATGGTGCATAGGCAGAAATTTGGGGGGGGGGGGGGGGGATGTGTTCAACCATACTTTTATGTTTGCATGTGCGTTTGTACGTGTACGTCTTAGCTGTGGCTGTGCATTATGCTAATTGTGCCAATTTGTGGCCACAAGAGAGTCAGGTGCACTGCTCGATATACCAGTCGAACCTTCTGCATAGTCAATATGTCTTGTCTTCACCTCAGTGTGTTGTGAGTGACTATCCAAACAATCTGTGAAAGCACTACAATGTTTGATAGGTCGTTTGACAAGCTGCATTGCAGAACTTATGTCAAGTTGTATTCATCTCTAAATGAATACAACTGAAAACCAATTCCACTCACATTTGAAGCCTACGCTTTCATTCTTACGACAAAATAGAACGTGATTTCATGCAGTAATAAAACGAAGTCGCTGACAAATTATACAAACTCTGTGCAAACCGCAGGCAAGAGTTCAAAGGATTCGTTAGAGAAAAAAAAAGCACCTTTAATGGCACAGTGGCCAGAAAATTTGTCAATGCACATGAATACGCTCAAAGAGGACCAAGCCAGCCAGTGTTTAGCCACTTTAGCACTAAAGTTACATTTGAAGACGCGTGGGCGGCACTTGATCAAAGTGGCTGTTCACCTGCACTAGTTTCATGACATGACATACGATCTCCCCATTGTGCTACTCTACAAAACCTCCCCAGCAACATCCGATTGAGGTCAGCCACCTTTGACCTGGCGAATAATTGTGAATTATTGTCAGAGTCTTGTAGTTCTCACATTTTTTATTATCGACGGCGCAGATAAAACAGGCAGCGTTGCCGCCATTTCAGCAGATCAGGCCTTACAAGTCAAACAAAAAATGAGAGCGAGACACAAAGTGCGAAACGCAGATGAGGCCTAGACGTGGAAACCACCGACAACGCAAACCCTCAAACGCCGAAAAGGTGTCGGCTAGTTGGTGCTGCAGCACTTGTAGAGTAGTCTATGTTGTTCGCACAGTCATTCTCATACGCCACACTGAGCCAACACCTAGTGCGGCATTGCTTGGATTGGATTGCAGTTGGGCGGTGAGAGCTGTTCAATGGATACTCGTCCACCTAAAGCCGAAAGGTGACGATTACGTGTAGCCAACAAACATAGCTCTTACGATCGGCAGTTGTAATTTCTGTGAGACCTTACACAGGCACATCTTCAGCCACAGCCAGTGCAACCTTTCCGTGCTGGCCACCTAGCAAAAATATTGTAAACAACGCACATAGCTTCTCAGGGCTTTCGAAGTCGAACAGTGCACCTTGGGGCGTCCAACTCCAGTTGGGAATTCACTTATTTCAGTGGAACATGTGGAGGTGTTGCGAAGCTGTTTGAATAAACGAGCATGTCAGAATTTTCAGTGTTTGAATGAACAGTTAGCGACTGAATTTGATTATATGCCAATTACAAATTACGAGCTTGCACGAAACAACCCATTACTGCATTTTCTTCCTTGGAATGTAATATTGAGTGCCTTAGAAATATTGTATGTAAATTTGAGAAGTTGGTAGATAGTGCACCATAATTCATGCATATAGATATATATATATAAACACACATACACACACACACAAAACTGAAAATTTTTATGGTAGAGTTGAACCCCATATCTACGCCAGTGATTTCACTGATAACGATGAATTACGCCTGTACACCGGCACGCTTTGCAATCACTGGTTTTTTCAACCAACCACCTTTTGTCCAATGCACACGCTTTGATGCCTGGTTCAATTCTAAGTCTCTGCCACGCAATACTGTTACATGCACTAAACCTCGCACAAAATGACCAGTGGTGTGGTTCTGCGATAGGAATTCTGCGTGGTAACCAGATGTTCTAAGTTTGGTTCCCACTCAGGCTAAAAAGTAATTTCTTTAGTGCATTTATGTTGAATTTCGTGTTAAAACTAGCAAAACTCTATCATGAAGGCTTTAGTTCTGGCAAAACTGGTACACCCAGCCCCTATAAAAATGGCACAGGGCAGCGCAGTATAACGAAAATGGTGGATTATGACCAAAAGCACAAGAAATCTAACGGTAAGCTCCGGTGTTACTGTGCCAGAGTATTATGCATGGTGAACTGAAACCCATGACTGATTCCATGTGCCTGGACCATGTTATGTTTCATCTGGTAATGTAAACTGATATTTCCCATGATATTTTAGGGACCTATCCAATTTTAATTGGTTGATGGTCCCACAGAGCTTTAGCAGGGTTTCAACTTCTCTAAACAATAAAATGGTCCCAACAGTGACTAATAGCCATAGAGTGCTTGCTCGAACAGACTGCCGCAATTCTGCATTATGTTAGTGGCATGCTTATTGACAGCGTGATTCAAGTAGCTGGCTCACAGCGTAAAATTCAAAATACAGTTTTCTTTCTAGAGGTTCTTACAGCTTGCCATCCCATCGCCACAGTGAAGCCACCTTTGCAATAAATCACATGCGAACATTTGGACAGGTGCTCTTACGGCTTAGCACTCCTATACTGCAGTGAAACCACCTTTGCAAAAGATACATGCAGATTAACAAACTGTGATGATGTTTATTCGAGCAGAGAAGTCGCAACGAGGTCGCAACGGAAAGTGGGCGTACGGCAAGTCTGGCAAAGACGGCACAAACACTCGCGCAAGCAGAGCACGGGCTTTTCGTTGTCTTCCGAAGGCGCATACGCGTTGGTGCGTATGCTCCACTACAAAACACTTATTTGTTCGTTTTGAACATTTTAGAGAATTGCAGCGACTTCGAATACAAAAATGTTTGGATATTTACACAAGCCGAAAAATCTCCACACCACCATGTAAACAAAACCAAGAACAGAAATAAATAATTTGAAAATACTAAAACTTGTCAACTTCTCATAAGACCCATTACCATAAGCATCACTTTTCTCGTAGTGATGCTATATTTCAAGCTTGCTTTTTTTTTTTTTTTTCAAAGCCTTGTCGATGTCAACAGCATAGGCAGTGCAGTTCTTCTGTCATTGCCATCACATCTCAGTCACCATAGCAACGGTGTGGCCAGTGCAAGTAGCCAAAGCTTCAAGCAATTGTTCAAGCCATAGTTATTCTATTCGATGCTACATTGCTGCATTAGCAACTCATTCGTTCGGTATGTGGTGAAGAACGGTGAAGTTACAAGGCCTAGCCCCTGTATTGACAAGCCTCATTCGTGCAGCGATTATCCTACTCCATGTTTTCATTGCCACATTTGAGCATCAACCAGGCGGCCAGTGAACACCAGTGAAGTTGCACACTAAAGTGCCCCCGACAGTGACAAATCTTTTCGGTTAACGAATCCTATAGGAGCACCGATACAATTTTGAGGTCCTTAAAGAAACGTTTTTTGTATCCATACTATGCACTACCAACACTGTCCACACAACGGTGCGAAAAAACACATATGAAATATGGATTTCAAAGTTTGCATCACCCAGCATCTGCAAGCCAGCCCCCACCACATAGGACATTATCACAACAAGTACAACACAATTCACTGGGTTTGCAAAGCCTGCATCCTGCAAGCAGCCTGAATTACAGAAATCAGTGTCGAAGTCACTGTACGACAGTTATCTCATCTTTGGTTACAAGAATAACGTGCGACCGAGACGAGAGCAAATGGCTGAGTTGGTGCTAGCATTTTGCGAGTTAGTCTTGCCACAACGTCAGAATGTGCCAACACGTCACTGCAAAGCTGCCTCCTTGATACCAATACTTGAAAATGTTTTTTCAAGGCAGCACTATTAAAAATATATTCAATGCATTCTCAACCACTATGAAACTGCTTATCTAGTTCTAGACACTCGTGTTTTCAGTTAGAGCAGCAAGCTGAAAGTATTTGAATTTCGTGTCAAACTCCTGTAACATTGTGCAACCAAAGCAAGGGCCAGTGGTCGCACCTTATCTTTGGAGAGTTCCTCGAGGTTGCTGAACTCTGTGGCCAGGGAGGCGGCTCCATCCGCCGCATGGTGGGCTCCTCCTCCGGCGACGAGGCACTGTCCCTCGTGGACGTGCGAGGAGAGCAGCTGAGCCTGCAGCTCCTCGTTGGCCTCGCGTAAGGCACGGTTCTCCTCTCGCACAGCCTCCAGCTGACTCTGCAGCTCCACGCACCTAGAGAACAGGCACAGAGTGAACAGCTTGCAGAAACAGAACCCAGCCACAAACACGCTCTCAAAACAAGTGCCACCTTAGCAGTCCACGAACTAAATGAGGCTCTCATGTGGCACACCAGGACCACGCCCTGGAAGAGAACCCCAATTTCGCCTGACCTTTTCTTTAAGCCTAAAATAGCCTTGCCTTCATCACAAGAGCTATCATAGCAAGAATTATTTGAAAGGAGCCCTGTTTTATACTCCTCGTTACACACTGACAAGGATGCATCTTTTGGGGCCTAGGCACGAGGGGGACAAAGGAGAGAGTGACCTACCAAATCCCCTAGGGGGGGGGGGGGGCACAAATTTCGCCCCATACTTTTCGTAAACGACACCCACTAGAGTAGGCAGAAATTTATTTCAATGCGTTCTTGTCACGGTTCGAAGTGAGTGCCGGGCAGGCAAGTCTGGTCGAGTGTCATTTTGAGCTCAGTCCCCTATGGCAGACAAATTTCAAGGGTATCAAGAGACCAGTGTGCCACCCCCTGGCTACGCCACTATTTAGACTAGTCCTGTCACTGTTTCAAGATCAAGATTGAGGCCCACACAGGCTTTTGGCAATATTGGCAGCCAACACCTCATGTTGCATTCCAAGAACTGTCCATCTGTACTAGAAAGCCAAAGATCAAAGGCCATTGTTAGAAGCACGTCATCACTATTTTTCATTCATCGTTTTTTTTCATTCATCATTCATCATTTTTTTTCATTCATTGTTAAATGTGTTGTCTTTCGTACTACCAATGAAAGTGGAGGTGGGGCGGGGCTCTGAAATCAAACTGACTTTCCCCCTCTGATGGGTGACCCTGTGCACACACCTGTCAAGTTGGGCTTACCACCATAATTAGTCTTCTTTCATTTCTAGGACAAGTGAAGCCTCAAACTACTTTTTGGCACAATTTCTGGATCCTTGTTTGCTATTAAGTATTGAATTGTACTGTATGTTCCCATCACTCTATGCATTTGTGGGCCAGTGAGGCATTCCTAAATAATAACAACGTTATTAACAATTACTGGCATAATGGATGACAGAGTTTAAGGTTGCTTAACTGAATGCCTTGTAACACTGTATTTTTCGGCAAGTCAACACGTCACTTTTTCTTTCTCCTCATTGCTGCAGTGACCATAGGCCCTCGAAGTATTTTTAAAATATAGTAAACAAACATATAAATAAATGCAGTGTAGGAACAAGTTTACGCACTTTAGAAACAATGACCTCCCATGCCACCTGTTTGCATTCCCGTTCCTACGGAATGTGCAATAAGAAGAATTCAGTCGGGAAGGCCATGCCGTACTGCTAATGCACACTGACTTCGCAACTTAGAAGCACAGATCTTGGCATGTTAAAAGAAGAAAAGGCATGCAGATGGAAGAGCTATCGCAGAGACAAAGGTGCACCTGAATGAGTACAGAATGTGAAGAAGACCAAAAAAGCACAAGCATGCCAAAAGAAAACCAAGCACTTAGTCTTCCATGCAACCTGGTAACGTGGCAAGAGAGATCAGCATTTGGCTGCACCGACAGTACACCAACAATCATTAGACCTAAACAGCTCAAAATTTACCCAGCTCAATATATAAGGTGCTTCTTTTACATGTTGCCCATTTGGGAACTTGTATCTACCGCCCCAGACTTTTTTTTTCCGAGTGACAAGAAGGTTGGCCACACATTAGTTACGAGAAAAAATTCGGCAGATCCCACGCACCTTGGGAACTGATGTTATCCAAAGCATAGGGACGCAAAGTGAATGTGTTTAAATTTTTTATTTAGGGAGGCGTTATGAAGTAGTGCTCAATATATGTACAAACCCACGCACACACATACATTAGTTTTGTATTAGCAGTTCTTTGCAGTTGTGTAATGATGCTAACAGTAACAGGGATATTAGCAACACCAATGAAGCACTGGTGTTTGCGCTGCGGCTCACGAGGATGGTAGCCCTCAATACTGCTACACAAATCAACCTCAGCAGTGCCTTACTACAATTGACGTCAACCCGACATGACGGCTGAATCATGGGAGTACATATGTAATGTTTATAAAATTTTATAGTCAGTACTGCAACTAGAATTGACATTTCACAAACATAAAGGTCTACGGTAATTACTTGATTCTATCGCACATGCGATTTATGAATACGGTCATTCTATTGCCATCGACATTTCCCAAATGGCCGCCCCCTACGAGCGTCGGCATGGCACGTCGGCCATTTCTGCCTATGTGCTTCCCATGAGCGGCACTTCATACGTGTTTCGAGGAGTTCGTCATCTTGTAGTGCATCAGCATCGATGACATGCAAGCCGGCTTTAAAAACTCGGCGAGTGCACCATGATGCCGCTTTTAAAAGAAAAGTCATCGCGTGTGCCGAAACGGACGGAAATCGAGCCGCATCTCGGTCGTTCGGAGTTCCGGAAATGTGCGTGCGGGACTGGCGGAAACAAAAGCAGAAGATTGTCGACAGTAAAGATTCATGCAAAGGCTTCAGTGGACCACAGCAGGGTCGGTTTCCGAAAATTGAAGAGCTGCTCAGCGAGTATGTGCTTGAGCAGTGAGCGGCACAGCGGCCCGTGACGACAGAACTGCTCCAAGTGCAGGTTATGCAGTTAGTCTTAGAAAAAGGGCTAATGCGGAGCCAGTTTAAAGCGAGCAGGTGCTGGCTAACTAACTTTATGAAGAGGAAAGGCTTTTCCCTCTGAAGGCGAAAGGGCATATGCGAAAAGTTGCCGGAGGAGTACAAAGAAAAGCTTCAGTTTTCAGAGGTTCGTCCTAAACTTGCGGCACAACGGCTACCTGCTTGGGCAAATTGGGAATGCCGATCAGACGCCTCTATACTTCGACATGCCTGTCACCACAACCGTCGAGAAGGGGGCGAAGCAAGTTCGTGTGCTGACATCGGGCCACGGTAACACTAGAGTGACGGCAATGCTCCGTTGCACGTCAGATAAACACAAGCTTCCCCTGTACCTCATATTTGAATGGAAGAGGCTCCCGAAAGGAGTCGTTTTCCCCAGTAATGTGATCGTGCGGGCCAACGAGAAAAATAGGTGCGAGTTGCAATCCATATCTTACTTTCTTTTTCTTCGTGGAAAACGGGTGCACGTTATAATCGAGGGCATGGTAGAATGGACTAAATATGGTATTTGCAAAGTATTTTCGAGATCTGGTGTGGCTCTGTGGTAGAATACTTGATTGTCATGCAGAATTCTAGGGTTCGATTCCTGCTGAGACATTGACATTTATTCTTTGCATTTGTCCAGTCAGCGCTGTTAATGTCAAATTTTTCTTAACGCTCGAATGTTGAAGTTACCCATGAGTGTTCTTGCTGTTCCCGAGTAGATATAAAACGTCCATCACGAGTGACACATACTTGCATGCCAGTGACGCATACCCACCCCCTGGTTCGTGCCACTGTTTCTTAAAAAGCATTTGACGACGTACGTGAAAATATTGTGACATTATTCATGTCATGACTAGCATGAAGTATTCGTCAAACCATTTTGTCTTTCCGCACAGATTTTGGTGAACCCCAAGTTAACAGACGGATGGATGGACAGACAGACAGACAGACAGACAGACAGACAGAAACACCAAAAGTGCTTGCTCTACGCAACAAAATGCTTCGCATTTAAAATTTTCAACTGTTTTGTTAATAAACTACGAAATACTAATCATATTTAATGCAAAGTATTTTTTGCCTTGTTGTAAATGAGTCCTGCGGAATCTCACATGGCGGCAAAAGTGTCGAGAAATTGAGATTAACATTCATCGTTTGTAGAAGCCACAAGAAAGTTCACGTGGACTTCTCTTAGAAAGCGTAGTTCATGAAAAATTCATCCTGGTCGGAGCATCAACTCCTGCACCACCAACTTTTCATGGCCACCACCGTACCACTTGAGCTAACCAGGCAGCTGGCAATTGGCAGAGGGAGAGGTTTTATCGACAACTCGAAGCACATGTACAGTGCAGCACTTATACAGTGCAGGATTGGCGACAATACGGTCTTGACTCCCGTTTACTCTTCCATAGAATGCCATGTAGTACACATATTGTAGTAAAGCAGTTCTGTAGAATCCTTCAAAGTGGCTGAAGGGTTGACAAAGGAAAATAGACTAAACGGCTGGTTGTAAATTTCTCTTTTTGAACTGTTCCATCCCCCTGAGGAATTATGCAGAACTTATTTGCAACTTTATGCATCCGATGAATTGACCCTCGCGTTGCCAATTGTTAGCTTCTGGGTTAGCTAAATTGGTAGGGCAACCACCCTGGAAAAGCGTTGCTCCTGGGATCGATTCCTTAGCCATCCAGGACAAATTTATCAGAAACAAAGAAGCTTTCTTCCCGAGAAATACATGTCGATTTCCATTTGACTTGTGCAAACCATAAGTGGTTGTCAACTTGCTTTTCTTATTCTTAGCCATATTCTGAACACTTCACAAGAAGTATTTTTTGTCTGGGAACAATTTGGACATCTCTGAAAAAAAGAAATGCACTACTGCCTCAGCTCTAAACTCTAAGCCACGATTCCATACAAACTCTTCACATGCCAAAGCTGACTAGCTCTTTGAATAGAATGTTTGGTGTGTCCATCATGCCCCAGTTTCTTGGATTGTTTCTCAAAATGCGTTATTAAATGTGATTCATTTCAAAGATGATCACTCGCGACCCAGTGCTTTTTCGTTCGCACCAAATGCTACATAGAATTGTGCAACACGGTTCCACCTTCGTGAGCCCATGTCAAGCAGAATGCGAAGGCACCCCGCCACACCTTCAGATTGTCATCATAAAATGCTGGCGATAGCAGTCGAGGCTCTTAGAAACATAATGAAACTTTTTGTTGGGCAAGTTGTTACATGTTTACTGAAATACAAAAAGACACATACCATCAAGGATGAAAGCTGAGAACAGAGCAGAAAGGGTGCCCATTCTGTTCTGTCCTTAAGGGGGGACGCGGCTTTGGGATCGCGAAAAATGGCGAAAAATCGATTTTTTGAAAGTCAAGTTTTCAGTTTCTGGAACCCTTTTTCTATCTGGTTCCAAAATATCTACACTGAAAACCGCGCAGAAGTGCTTCGGAAAATTCGTTTCACCCACCTAGGTAGCAAAAATTTTTCTGGAAATGACGAGAAAACGGCGATTTTCAAAAAATTATAGCTTTGCAATGCTTGGGCCGGGAGCCGGCTTCTTGGGCTCATCGGAAAGAGCATTTTTCCGTGTTTAACTTTCCCGCCTCAGCTGGCTCCTCCCTTTAATAACAAGCGAGCAAAAAGCAAATGTTTCAAGGTCGTTTTGAGGCCCTTGATTGGCCGTGGCCGCCATGTTGCCTCAGCTCGCCTCGCCATTGGCCCGATGCTCGCTCCGGGAGATCGTCGTCTGCTGCTTGTGCGTAGCGAGGACAAGGCTCTCGAAAATCGCCACTTCGTGACGTGTACACGGCTTGATAATCACTTAAGATATAACCACGCTTTAGTTACGAGCAGTAAGCGGATGCGCGATCAGGTTATTACGAGCGTCAGCGCGGTCTACGAGCGCCGCGCGTCATTGGAGTCGTCTTTAGCCCTAACTCCGCCGACTGCGGGCAGGAACGACGCGCTAGCGCATTCGTGGCGACGTGCTTCTTCGCAAGCAACGAAGCTGTAAGCAGCGGCACGATCTGATTACTACGAGTGGCAGCACCGGATGCACGATCAAATTACTACGAGCAGGCGCGCGGCGGTCTACGAGTGCGGCGCGTCATCGGAGTCGGCTTTAGGCCTAACTCCGCTGACAGCGAGACTGCAGGCAGGAACGACGCGCAAGCGCACTCTTGGTGACGTGCTTCTTCGCAAGGAATGTACCACATCACTCGCTAGCTCCTCTGAATATTGTACAGGCATTTTATGCATCGGCAGCGGACAACACAGTCAAGCTCGTCAGCCCCCCCCCCCATTCACTGCCAAGGATCGCTCGGAACAGCGGCTAGCAGTATCGCGCGTCGTCATTCGAAAATGCGATGCCAAGTGCAGTGCGTGCCGATTTTTTGTCTTCGTAGTTACACATTTCGCGCATCGTCATCGAACGCCGCCGGCAAGTGCATTACGCGCCGGCTGCACTGTCCGCGTGGCCGCGCACCCCACGGTCATATGGAGTGCTGTCAGTAAGCTTTTGTGATGCGATTCAGACGTGCTTGGAGCCGTGCTTGATATCGCCACGAACGTCTATGAATGTTCCGAGGTTAATGAATTGCTGTAGATTAGAGTTTCCGCGACCGGCTGTAAGATGATGCGTTTCACGTCTAGAGCGGCGCAAGAGCATGTGTGAATCAGGGGCTCGAATTTTTATATGGCCGTTTCGTGTCATTAATTATACTGCTTGAAATTCCCGTGCCACCAGTCTTCTGCCCATAACTTTGTTATTTAGAAGGAAGGCATAGGCCGTCATGGTGTGATCCATTTTTCTGATGCAATAAACTTCTCTCCAAATAAAAAAAAAGTTCAGTGAATATTTGTAATCAAGTACTTAATTACGCTAATTACAACTTCCGCACAAAAAAAGTATGTGTAATAATTTCAGTATATGGTTTTATTCAATTACAATCTTTTCTGTCATACCTATCACACCACTCCTTCATACAAAGAAGTTGGTTTGAAATCCATACTTGTTCTTTGTAACTCATGAAAAGGAGTAAATCATGAAAAGAAGTCAAATATCACAACACAAAGCTGAGATCACAATTTTTAGGTGTCTTAGAGACGTAAAGAAAAGTTGAAACTTTAAACGCAGCTTTCTCAATACTGTTTTTTTTTTTTTTGACATTATGCTCAGCCCTTCCACATGGTTCAATGAAGAAATAATTTGTTTCTCGTAAAGTATTCGTGGTATCGCTTCAAAATTTTTATGGAAGCACTGTGAGGTTATTTTTAGTGTCTGTGCCAATTTTCATCAATATCCAATGAGAAACAAAAAAGTTCATTGAAAAAAGCCTGTCGAAAACTTCGACAGGCTTTTTCTCACAAGTGTGTTTTGGACATTGTACATTGCTCGTGGAAAGAGTAGCACGAGAATGACTGGACCGATTTTGATTCTGTTTTTTTTTTCCTGAATCCCTGAACACTGCTTGTGGGTACAGCAATCTTCAATTTCTGTTTTGTGGCCCTGTTATTTTTCTAGACGATGATTTGTCCGTGCCAATGTTTCTGAAAATGTGTGTCGGCAGCCATGATGATCTCTAATAAAAAAAAGAGAACTTATTAAAACATTCCGAGAGTGTCATACCCTGTAGCTTTCTTTTGAGTAAATATCAACACCATTCGCAGCTTCTTGGCATGTTTTGTTGCAGCGCTAGGCTTTCCACGAGCAGACTATGTAATTGGATCGTGTAGCAATATGTAACTTGAGAAATACTGAAGCTATCATGATGAAACTGCATATTTCCCTATTCTAGACATTTATGAGTGTTCCTGCCAAATTTCATTGCTGTAGGTCAACAAATAAAAAAGTTTTTTTTCAAAGCCACCTCCCCCCTTAATTTCCTTCCTAAATATTGCAATTCTTGTATGTATTTTCTAAAAACATGCCACCAAGCATTTACTTAAGGGCAGCACAAGGCATATATTGACAATAAGGTTCCACAGTCAGCTAAAAATCCCTCACTCTTTTTTTCAACACATGATGCCATAAGCTCAATGTAACTTTCATAATTTTGGCTAATAATTATTACCCCATTTCAGCATCATACGTTATACAGCTACCAAGGCCTCCATGACCTGCCTACGCAGAATTCTATAGTGTCGAAATTGTACACTATAAAATTAGACAAGCACGCTCATGATCACACTGACAAGGAGCTACACATTATGAGAAAAAGAAAGAAAAAGAGACCTCAAGGCCCTGACACATAGCTTCTTGAACTTAATTCCTCTAGGTAGCTTTCACAGTACCTGCTAGAAAAAAAGGACAGACAGAGCACACCTGAAGTGTGCTCTGTATGTCTTAGAATTAATCTTATGCAGAACACTCATAAGGAGTAAAATGAATTATGAATCATCTATCTGGATTATGCATCATCTAGCTAATCCAAAATAATGCCGCTCGTTTCATTTATAACAACTGCAGCTGACCATCAAGCATGACTTCCATGAAGAACTCCTTACTACTTCCTCCCCCCTCTCATCCAGACGTTAACATTTTCGCCTTGCTTTATTACGCAATTTATATTTCTACAATGCTTACATGCGTGAAAACCTTATATCATCTCCTCCTTACATTTCTTTTCGCATTGATGATGTCCATGCGGTTGGGATAATGCACTGCCATACCAGAACCTGTCACGAATCATTTATTTCCAGGACATCTCGAAAATAGGACCACCTTCCCGGCACTAGTGTTTCTATCAAGGACCACTCAAAGTTTCACTTGGCCATTTCGAACATCACTCTTGGACTTGACTGACCAATCACTTCTTGTGTTACCTAGCTAATTTTGCTGCTTTGTTTTCCTTTTACATTTGTGTGTATTGTTAACAACTCCTCTCTGTAATACTTCGATCCTGAGAGTAAAATAAGTTCAATGAAAATAAACGAAGTGCGTAGAAGATATCTATAATTGCACTTACACTAGGCAGATTCCAAAATTTTTACGCCAATGATTTCGTGAGGAAAACTCAAACAGCGACATCATTCAGTGTTTACTCAGAAAACTTCAACGGGGCCCTTTTTTTAGTGTTCAATTCCTGAAGCAAAGCGAAAAAAAGATGTGTTCTGCAAAAGGTCGGCTATAATTAGGTAGTTTGAGGATTACAAAAAAAAAAGTGCAGAAAGCAGTGGCAATTTCACCTAGCGGGCAGCATGTCCAAGAGGGATGGACTACGTGGCCTTCCATCGCGGTCCGTGCGCAGCCGCCGGAGTTCCTCCAGCTCTCGCCCCACTTCCTGGAGCAGCTGCGCTTGCAAGCTACGCTGTGCTTGCGCCTCTTCACGTTCACGCCTGCACAGCTCCTGCGAAAGGGTACCGCCACACAGTGCAACACTGCAGCAGTTAAAATAGGCGTAAGGAAGCTCCACTACAGTGATACCCGAGGAAGTCTATTGCATGGATACTCAGTGATTTCCATTTGTATTTCTCACTGCTTCGTAACCCAAAGTGTGAATGATCCCAACGTTTGATGTAAGCATGCACGGTTTTCCCAGCACAAGTACGGTAGAACCTTTTTCATTTACTTTATCAACTCTGCGAGGAAGGGCACCTACTTTTGTTGCCCACCAGAGTGAGGGCAGTAGGTATAAACCCTTACTTTGTACTTACTCCCATTATAGTGTGTGTATGTATTTGTACATGTGCATATCTGTGTGCATGTTCCATATTGACATACGCACATGTACATTACTCACAGACCTAAATGCATCGGTTTTCTTCATTTTTTTTATTGCAGTAGCAATTATATGGACATTCTCCACTTGATTGTGCCGCCAGCGTTGACGTCGGCATCAGCATCGCCATCACTCTCCGTATATGTATACGTATCTATTTTTAGCCTAATTAATGCCTTAAGCACTCGCTCATGATAACTGTATACCATGTTGTTAAAGATTATGTCTGCTAAAGGTAATGTTGGCCCTGACAGAAATTTTCATGTGTTTGCAGAAAACTGCGAAATGAGAAAAGAGGAAAGGCAGAGAATAAATAGGTTGGATTCTAGCACACAGCGTCCCAAGAGCTAAAAATGCGTAAAGAGTACCTTTATTAATATTTGAAGTGTAGGTGCTTCCATATTTAACATGACAACATGCTAGGGGAAAACGTATACACATTACACAAAAAACATAAGCTTTGTCTTTCAAAATTTGGCATAAGGAAAATTAATCTGAGGCTGCTTCAAAGAAAGTAACTGTACCTATTGAGGGTACCCTTGAAGGTAAAAAAAAAAACTACTTCTCATAGTCAATACCACAAACAGTGATGCTACAGGCTTAGGTTGTTTTGGAGCAGGCAAAAATGCATTTTGGAGCACATCTGGCTAGTGGAAATATTAAGACACCTACTGCACCCATGACAGACAACCAATAAAAGCATGTTTTGCTGCAGGCTATTCAAGCCTAATTAAAATATAAAATGCTTGAAGTAAAAATATCACCAATGTCTAGCCTGACCAAGCAAAAAAAGTTAATGGTGAAATAAAAAACCATAGCAGCTTAGTAGAAAATGACTAAAGGAGACATGATCATCACAGATTAGTTTGTACATATCTGAACAAAAAATAATACCACAGAAATGTCTGATAACACCTGTGTGTTTTATCAATAGCAATCGAAGAAAACACATAGCTCGTTAATTAAGTTCATTAACTGCATGCTTAGGGTGTTTTGTATCTTTTGAATGACCGTTTGAGAGTAAACAGAGTACTCTAGAAATTTTGACCACCTGGCATTCTTTAATGTACTCTGGCACTGGCCTCTACCATATCGCCTTCTTTGCGTCACACATTTGTGGCGCTTAATGCTTGGCACGCTTAGAGGACTGTCTGAATTAACCAAATTGCTTAGAGGACTGTCTGAATTAACCAAATTGCAGTCAAGTAACGCTGAATGAACCAGAGTGTTACGTCATTAAACAATACACATGCTCACGAGGACCAAAAAACACACTAGATTTGTTCAATTTCCTGAATAATTGGGCTTCAAATCGATAAGCTTCTACTCAGATATTTCTTAGATGTGAAGCAGTTTATGGGGGAGTTCAATCCGGTATGTGACGTGGCCACCCCTCTCTCTCCTAAGTCCCCGGCGAAGACAACGATACGCTTACTGAGCAGTGCGACAGCCGTATCTCCACGGTGCATATCTCCACTGTCCACTTTCCCTTCTCTCCTACGCTCCCCATGGAAGCGCATTCCACGTTTCCATGAGACGGAGCGCATTTGCTTTTTCATAGCTGTTGGTCGTTGATCTTGCAGTGTCTCATGTTTTCGCGAGACTGAGCGTGTCTGCTTTAGATAGCACAGGATACCATTTGATGTCTCTCTAGCCTGCGCGTTGAGGGAGCTAATGTTTAGCAGTGCTATAGTCATGGTCACTGGCACTGCTGGTCACTGGCAGCAATCACAGACATCAAGCGACGGTCGCTGTCAGCCTAGAGGTTCTGTCACTGTCAGCATCTGTTAAAGGCAACGTAGGCGAGTTTCTGTGGGTGCTGTTCACCATCTGCCCTCTAATTCGCATCGACACATGGTTCTCTTTAGCGGGATATGGTGTAATTTTCTCAAATACAGTAAGCTAGTCAAGGGTACTGATCACATGATGACGACGAGAAAGGTTCCCGTGTTGCGAGTGAGGCCCACCTGCAGTCGCTGGTGCTCCTCGCGCAGCTGTGCTAGTTGCGCCTGACTCTGGTCGAGCTGCTCTAGGGCCTGCTCCTTCTCGCCTTTGAGTCTGTCTGTGAGCGCACGCAGCCGCAAGGCCTCCTCCTGCAGGGCACGCTGCTCTTGCTGCAGGGCCCGCAGCTGCGTGCCACACCGCTCCAGCTCCAGGGCACTCTCCCGCTCCTGGCGACTCTGATGATGTCATCCAAGCGGGGCAAGGTTTACAATTGGACTTGGCAGTAATGACAATTACCAATGTGAGACTAATAGAGAAACATGATGATTCACATCAAGCAAATAATTCCAGGGTGGTTTTTTTGCCGATTATTTTTCCAATTACTTCTGGCTAAAAATATGTAATGTACACTTTCCTTGACGCATAAAAAATGACTAAAAAGCACAGAGCAATAGCAAAGACAAGTCAATGTAAGAGTCAAACCTCAAGCAGAGAAAATTTGATATTTCAATGTGTATGTGCTGTAAGTAGTATATGTGAGTTAATACATGAATTATATTATTGCACATACGAATGTGAGTAAATGAATGAAAAACAATGAGATCACTTTTCAAGAGTTACATAGAATAGTAACGTCCAGACTTGTGCAAACATTCCAAATTAGTATAATACTTGAATCCATTCAGAGAAAAATTTAAAATGTCTGTAATTACAAAGTATTTGAAACCTATCAAAAGAGCCCTTAGTGCAGATAAACCTTTTCACTGCACCATGGGGCCACTAAGCAATGAAACTACCTGACCAGGGATAATACAAGCCACTGTGAAGTCACGCTCAAGTTTAAGTCTACACTATTTCTGCACCCCAATTAACACATGGCAATGTTTAAACACATGCTGCAAGTTCTTATACAGAATAAATATGGATAATTGAAAGACCTACTTTGCCACTTATAGTTTGTGTCTTACTACAATTCAAATCTTGCCACCATTTGAATTAATTTTGCAATTACTTGCCCCTAAATACACTTTAGTCTCATTATCACAAAGTTGCATATCACAAAATAAGTTCGTTATATCCAAAGATTTGTTAAAAACGGTCGTTCTTAACAATATTACAAGGCCATTCATTTACTTTGTTATAAGCAATATTCTGTTATACCTAGGTTCGCTACAACGAAGTTTGAGTGTACTACTGTTTGCTTCTAACATGCTTTGCACCGAAAAGATATATTCGTCAAAGCCTAGTAATGAAGTTTTTTCAACTAGCTTTAGTTTATAAGAAATTATTACATTTAAAGTTTTTTTAACAAAGGTAATTATTATTACCATTTAATCAGTTTTTATAATAAATGCTACCATTACTGGTGTGCACGTATGGACACAAGAGAGCCAGCCTATATGACTTGTTGCTATAAACGCATACCACAACTTCATGAATGTGCAGTTGTATGTGAATTCGCAGCAAAAGACGTGCATTTGATGGGCGAAGCTTCACATATCCGCAGTACCACCTCACGTGCGAGCAAGCCTTATATTAACTTACAGAAAAAATCAAAAGCATAAACCGTCATATCTCATATATACCCGCGCTTTTGCCTCTACGAGAGGCCGTACTGCCATTCCTTAACTTTTGGGGATAAGTTGCCAAGTATTGTGTCTGCCTTTTCCGCTACAGTGTGGCCTTTAAGTTGATAGTTTGTGTTTATGTCTACCATCTTTTATGATGAATCCCTGAGAACTTGCCTAACTTTTTGGTGGTTTGTTAATAATGAGCATAAGAATTGGAGGTAGTCTAAAGGGCCACCAAACCACCTGCGATATTTTTTCGAACATTCCAAATAGACACACATCACGTGCAGAATTCCTTCGCAATTAACAATTTTACACGTGCCAGTGCTACGAGCCACTGGCACGCCACGTATTCCAAAAAAAAAAATTCCTTCTTTCCAAGCCTCTTGTGCCTCCATGTGACGCGCCGTACGAATATCTCAGACGAGCCGTACAAAATATGCTGCGATTGATAAAGCAAGAGCCTGTGACTTGCAGTTAGTCTGCAAGCAGTGGTCCGCGCTGCTTGTTGTTCGTTGTGTTGCCGCGTGCATGCGCCCGCATGCAAATCTGCAACTGCGGCCCGTAACGCAACAGCACGAACTGAATCAAAGTGTTTTGCGGAGGCTTTTATTCATCCATTCATGCCACCTTACGAAATGCCTGGCTCGAGCCCATCAGGCTTATGGCAGAATCAAACCGCTAGAGTGTTGGTGATTCTTTGAAGGTGTGCGTGCATCGCAGGGTCCATACCGGCACGATTCGTATAAGCACAAGCCGGCACGACAGCTGCAGCTCGCCAACAGGCACGCCGTCGAAGTCTATGGACGAAGTCACGGCAACCGGAAGTAGATGGTGTTTCAAGCAGCACGTCAGTGATGATGTATGCTACCCGAGATCGAGAGGGGGATGGGAGGGGTGCTCAGCGAGGGGGCAAAGTGGCTTTGGAAGAGAATACCATATAGCGTAGTGAAGTAGAGAACGAAAGCAGGGATTGTAATGGTTTCAATTATCAAACGGGTTCAACTCCACTATTATGGCACAATTTCAAAAAAATTCTCACAGCTCCATGTTCATCATACACAATTTCTTGCCCAATTTCTCCACGTCAACTGAATTTCGACCTCTTGGTGGTTTATGGGCCCTTGAAAACTCCCAAAAGCCTTTGTACACTGCCTAACAGTGTCTTCGTTAATTCATTCATCCACATTTAATACCCACAAACTACATGCAAGTACACTGTGGAGTGAAGATTTGATTGATTGATATGTGGAGTTTAACGTCCCAGTGTGGAGTGAAGAGGCAAAAGAAAAACTAAGAAGAAAAAACACTTGTAACAGACAAACACGACTACAGTATAGGGGCAGGATTGCATAAAATAGTGAAAACAATACACAGTTACATGAGAAATAAAAATGATCAATAGCAAGAAGTCAACAGAAAAAATATTAACATGGCGATTTTTATAAATACAGACAAAATCAATACATTCAATATTTCCATTAGACTCCTGTAGTTTATTCCATTTGTTGGATAACTGCAACATAGAAAATGTTTTTTCTATTGATTCCCAACATGTATTCATTCATAAATTGCATGCATTCAACACATTAATGGGAAAATCAAAGGCATATATGCTAAAAAGAAATGACTGCCCATATTAAGAAAGGCAGCAGCCACTTTCTCAAAACTAATCTCCTGTAAATGCAGTCAAAGCGGACAAGGCCATCACATTTGCTATGTCAATTAAAAAAAGCAAACAACTCTGAAGTTTCTCTCAGTATACACTGCCAACCTGGAGATTGAGCTACAGTTTGATCTTTGCTTCTCAAATAAGGGTGATATTGGAGCACGACTTCCAGCTGCTAGGAATTGTGTACGGACGATGATTTCGCCCTCAACACCATTTCTCCCGACTAGCGAAGTCTCGAGAAATGACTAGCGAAGTCGCATGTGGTGGCAGCCAGTTTAAAGGAAACTTATCCGCAATCATTCACTTCAACGTGCATCACAAACTGCAGGCTGCGACAGATTTCTTGTGCATGCACCCATTTGAGTTAGTTGCAGGGTAGTTCTTGTTCGAAAAGACAAGGTGTAAAAACACAGGGGTGACAAAGAAGTCGCGATACCACAAAAGGCATTTCCCCCGACTGGTTTTTCAGAATGAATAATTACAAACTACATCAGCTTTCCATACGTCTTTGTGCTTGCGTAGATTTTGTAGCATTTTAAATTAAGAGGTCAAGTGTGGTGTCGGGTATTTCACGTCCGAAATTCAAGTTGCTAATCTGAGTCATGGACTTCCGGTCAGTTTCGGTTTCGAATGATGTGTCACAAGAAATTGCACAAAGGCAGTTTCCTGTAACCATTATTACGTGCCAGTCCCGTCCCCTTTCTTTGCGTCGCTTTATGCTGCTTGCAGAGCTCCGGCACTACCGCACCCATTGGCTCCGCTGGACAGAGGATCCGGAGCAAACACAACACCAAAAAATTTGACTTTCACCGTGAAGCCACTCACTGTTTTGGAACCATCGAATGCGAATTTTTCAAACACTTTTGGCTATTAAAAATTTGCTGGCAAAATCCAGCACCGCCTTCGTTCGCAGAGATGAGACTACAGCAAACACCAGTCGAGTAAAGCTTTCACAAAACACCTACAAGAAGGGAATATGAAAGTTAGCACAATTTTTGCTCACCAGAGCATCCTTGAGCCTCCTCTCCTCCTCGTGGACACGCTCTTCTGACCGGACCTCCAGCTCCCGGATTTGCTCTTCCAGGTTGTGGATCCTGCCATGGCAAGAACAATACCATGACTTGTTATTTATCGATACCCAACTTTTTTTGCTCACTGGTAAATTCATACCCAACACGGGGCAGTTCACACACTAAGATTACTGTCAAAGACTCGGGCCCAAGCAATGCAGGCATAACTATACACACAGATTGATCCCAAGAGCTACAACCTGCAAATATGAAACAGCAAGCAAGAGCCTCGCAAGAAGCTAGGATAGAAATGTCGAACTACACTGCGAGATGTGTTTGTAATTGCCCAGTGTGTAAAAATAAAACTGCCGCATTACCACGGAAGGATGCTAGGCTGGCTGGGAAAGAATATATATGGAGGACACCACTAAAACGAAGCCCCACAGTGGCTCGTTATGAGTATTATTTTGATTACCATTAATTGGGCATATATATATATATATATATATATATATATATATATATATATATATATATATATATATATATATGAACGTGCCACACTCGCCGCCATGGATACAGATGGCGCTGACTGATACTCCCACGTTTAAATTCACATATATAGCCCATAAAGTGGCTGGACGGATAGCCACCGTGGTAGTTCAGTGGTAGAGCATCGAACGCGTTATTCGAAGGTCGCAGGTTCGGTTCCTGCCCACGGCAAGTTATTTTTTCACCCACTCTTCGTTCTTCACATTTATCTCACGATTCCGACTAATAACCTCCCCTATACTTCCCTTGGCATTATTGTCTGTTAGATATCGCTATTATTCTGTCAAAACACGGAAAAACGAGCCCTTGAGTATACACCTCTTTCCCTTTTATATATATATATATATATATATATATATACACAGACGACTATATTACAAAACAATAAAAAACGAAGCTTAAGTAGTTTCAAAAATATCTGAAATCGTTCTACCAATGCAGATCTACGAGCTTTTTTTTGTTGTTGTTGTTGCTGTTGTTGCACAGGGTTCTAGGCCAGTGTTAGAAAGTTCAATCGGCAACTATTGAACTAACCCCGTGCTTCACCTTCCCTGTGCCACCACTTCCGGAAACGCGGGGGGGGGGGGGGGGTGCTGCCAACAGCATCTGACGATTCAGGTTTTAGATTTCATTTGCTGCAATTTTTTATGAGCGCAGTGGCAAAGTTCACCCACTTCTAGCTGCCACGTTGATGAGTAAATAACGGGAAAGCAGCGCAATTTTGTAGCCAGTGAGCTTGCATCCACTCGAACAAAGGCGTGCTGCTTACTAAACCTTGTTTATCTCCAATGTAAATGTGGATGGGAAAATCATTGCGATCTAATCGAATCTAAACCACATTAAATATAGCGCCGCCACTAAACGCCAAGCGGCACCGATAGGCGGAGCGACACCACTAGTACTTCAAGCAGACGACGCGGCTGGCGAGCGGCACCGTAAAACGACATTCTCTATCCCAACTCAAGCAGAACAGCCCTCATCGCGCGCTGATAAAACCCACTCACCTACAACGACAAAAAACAGGGGATCTCAGAAAAGATCCGTACCTCAACGCCGCCACCACGCCCAGTTGGAGATGTCACAAACGTGCCGGGAGTTTAGGCCTAACGACCATCACCACACCACGCACAGACGACCGCTCGTCTCCCGCAACGAAACTCGCCGTTTGGGCGCCCGTTGAACCTTCGTAGAACCCAAGACCGAGGCGTCCTTGGCACAAAACGCGCTGCGCACACGCCTCGACGCTTTCGCGTCGTCGTCGTCGTCGTTCAAGTGCAGGATCACACGGAGCAGAATCGAAACCGCTCCCACCTTTGAATCGTCTGCGTGGCAGCCACTAGCAGACGACCGCGCAGGACAGTCCCGTGCAGAACCACTGCGTTGCGGTCGGTCGCCTTGCTGGCTGCCACGCGAGAGAGGCCTGGCCAGCTGCTCGACGGGGGTCGATGTAAAAAATGAAAACAAGAACGTTGCCCCGGGAAACGCCAGCTCCCACACGCGGCCAGCGCGAGGTCGGCGTCGACAAAAGAACTGCGCCGACCTCCTCGCTCCGGCGGCGCCCGCTCAGTGCCCGCCTTTCGTCTCTTTTCATATGTTGCTCATTTTACAACTACCATGCACGGTTCTGCGAACTCCAACTGGTTTCGATTCGCCCGTTCGCGTCAGTGCGAGGGCGAACGGGTTCGTAGGGAAAAAAAAATGCTCACAGACAGGTAAGAAAAGGTGGCGCAGTGGTTTCCTCGCAAGCTTTCTTCGGGCGAAGCGGTTTGTTTGGCGTATCCGTTTTTGTTTTATCCGGGCGCCCGCGTTGGCTGGCTGGATGACTCGCGCACGCTTGTGTCGTCACCGACATTACCTCTCGTACGCATGCGCGCGGGTCGTGCCGCTCGAGAGCAGACGACGCGCCTAGCAGACGACGCGGAACGAACACGAATCCCGCGGAAGAGCGCTCAGGTTCTGTGAAGACGGCTAAGACGCAGTGGCGGCGCGGGGTAATAGCGTCGGCAATTTGGCCCCGAGATGAATGAGTGGCCTCGGACGGTGGCACGAACAATACTGTTTCTTGCTTGACAGCCTGTCGCAACACGTCTCGTTCTTCACTTACGCACTTTTATTTCCATAAGGGCCATCTAAAGGGGGTTATTACATATGGGGTGGGTTACCAATTGTAGCCACACACACACATATTATATATATATATGAAGGAAATTGGGTGAAACGATAACTTGAGATCTCATTAATATTGTGTAAAAACACGGAAAAACGAGCCCTTAGGTACACAGTTCTTTCCTGATATATATATATATATATATATATATATATATATATATATATATATATATATATATATATATATATATATCAGGAGACGCGGACGCGAAAGTTCGAAATATCATATCAAGCACGTAGGATATCGAAACTGCATAAAAGGCTCCTTGTGCTTGCAACACTGGTCGAAAAAAAACAAAAAAAAACAAGAATGACTACGCCTAACGTGACGGTGTTTTTGCAGGTCGAACCGTTTCGCCCACATGACAAATTCGTTGCTGTCACCAAAACGTCACGGTTTCCACGGCACTTTTTTTTTTTACAAATCGCAGTTCGTTTGAAATTGTGACAAGCCGGGGCCAGGTTACAAAAAAAACTGAAAACTGTGACAACGGTTATAGTATCACAGCCAAACAGATGGCAAGAAGTGTCTAAGGAAGCCTTGGATATGAACATGCCTTTTTCCCGAAAAGTGGAACAAACGTTCTGTGTCAGATCCGTCGTCATCGACGTTTTCACGTGCTAATAGGAGTTTGCTCTTTCTTTCGCGTCGGTCTCGCGTGCACACAAACATGTGCCTTCTCCGTGCTTGGTGATGTCCTTCTCGTGCACGGAATCCTTATTGAGGGGTGACTTCGGTGGCGAAGCGGTTGGTGCTTCTTGTTTTGTGAACTCTCATTGCTGTGAGATAGCCGGCCAGTGCCGTAATGCCCCGTGTTGAGTGAGATTTACTGTCAACTTTTGCCGTCAGCAAACGACTGAATCCGCTGCTTCCAATTAGTACGGAGAAGCGCGTACGATTACGTGCTGCTTATGTAAGCAAAATATGTTGGGGTGTTTTGTGGTGAAATGGTGCAAAAAACGTTACAGTGCCACTCGTTTGCTTGCTTACGTTGCCATCTTTCCACCGCGATGCCGCGCATTGTGGCAAACTTCAATGGTGTTTGAAAATAGTTTTTTTTTTTTTTTGGGGGGGGGGGGGGGGGAGTTCGCGCGTGTGGCATGGCGAAAATAAAGGAACTATGCGGTCGTTTCTAAACGCGCGCAACGTGGTGACACGTCTTTTAAGGTTGACTCTGTTAGCGCCATTTTCATGCGCGGCCGCTAGGTGGCCAGCGCTCAGTTGGAGTAGCAAATTAAAAAAGAATAATTAGTGCTTAAGCTTTTGAGCAAATGCTGTTTGGGAGGTGCTTACGGCGATAGAATGGGACAGGCCATTCCACGACAGCAGTGCGATAACCGCTATCGTCAAACGACAGGAAGATTGCGACCCTTCGTGAAACCATTTCCGTCATGCGCCCCTTTCGCGCATTTCAAGAAGGCCTCAACTTGGCGCATTTTGCAAAGCGAGCTTGATTATAAAAACCAAAAAAGAAAAAGAAATCAGAGCCATTGCAGTATACTGCGAAGACTCATTCCAGCGAAGGTGCGACTATCGTGGGTCTGGCACATATATAAAATACCGCTATGGTGAACTTATACTAGATTATCATTATTTATTCCACGGAGCGAATAAAAAGACACACTAAGGTTCCGATGTTTACATGGTGCACATCTCATCAACGACGGTCGCAAAATGAAATACTGTACAGCGCATAACAACCCCGTTTTTCTCGCAAGTACAAAAATAGCATGGCTTATCGTTTTCTATGCAAGAGTTCATCTTGCCTCCGAGGCTAAATTGCTCGCGTCATTCTGCCACCTCAGCAATATCGTACGCTTTTTTGTTTACACGCCAGCTCGTAGCCATAAACAGGTTCACAGCGAAATATCAAACAGTTCGGAAAAATAAGGAGCCTAGTGCAAATGTGTCACTGCATTACGCTACCTTCAGAAGGTAGCATAATGCAGCAACTCTACGCGAACCGAAATTCCGGCGCCACCACTTACGTAACGCATCACGCCCGGCACTTCGCATATCATAACTCGCGTTGACCAGTTTTTTGTTTTTAATCATAAAGAGGTGTCGGAGAGGGGCACGGTTTTGCAAATGTTCATAACCCAACTTGCCCCCTCAAAAACCTCTGCGTAACATTTGGAATACGCTCGAGCCTGGTTCTTGTCCCACGCTGCGAACTTGGAACAAATTTCTAGTACTGGTTGTAAAGAAACGATGCTTTGAACTAGGGCTATCACTTTCCTGAGAAGAACAAGCAGGTATATTTAGAAATCGGAACATTTGCATCGAACAGCAAGAAACCGCTTCTGTGTATATGCTATGCTCTGCTGACTTCGAATGGTGGTGAACTATACTTGAATGTTCGCTCAGCAAACTAACAAAATTTGGATTCAGGAGGCGCACTGGTGCGCCTCACTGTTTAAGAGTTGACAGCACGACACATGGCGTATTTTGCGATGGAGAATCCCGCATGATATATCCGCCGCGCTGTCAGTCTTGTTGGCCCCGATTGGCTGCGGAGCCGTCATTACAAAATATTGTCACGTGGTCGTGACGAGGGGCGAAGGAAACTTTATTTGGCCGAACTTGTGGCCCGTAAACTGAAGGTCAGATTACAGCGATACCCACTGGCACTGATATAATGGCCAGCAGACTGTCGGCTATCGATCAACTGACAAGAGGTGAAGCACGTCGGCATTTATCCACGTGCTGTTGAACATTCTAGCGTTATCACTAGCAGCCACGTAGGTTCCAAAATAATCTGTAATGTTCACGAAGTGGGCGTAATATTAACAAAATGATCGACTATACAGTGCCGAAGCTTTTGGAACACTGCAGGCGCAGTTTGCGCTGAGAATGACTGAGAGTGCAACGTGGCGCTAACACAACTTGGGAAGGAATATGGCAATATGACAAACTGGCGGAACTTCACATCCAGACTAGAATACTCTTAGGTCGAACTCGCCACTGGCATGCGTACAGTAAATCATTGCAGGGTGATATGAATAAATAAAGAGACCGTTGTCCTTTCCCGCGGAAACGTGCTCTTACCTGTCGATTCTTTTTGTTGTTGTTGTTGTTGTTGTTGTTCACCAAACAAAATCATAGTTAACAGAACTACACCTTAGAATGAAATAATGCATTAACAGAACGGAAATGTCAGGTAGTCTGTGTTCATGCTTGCTTTATTTAATTTTTGACGTACACACACAATCTTGGTTTCTCACCATAAATAATCAGTTTGCAGTCAGCGCCCATATTCGAGTTTTATTTTCTTTGTGCCTTATTTACGCTGTCAATACATTTTTTGAGACGCAATAACCAGCCCCCTTTCACCATTTGTGAACGTCGTACCTTGAGAATCATATCTGAGAGTTCAAAATCTGCGCCCAAAGTAAGTTTCGTCTAAACCGCGAATGGTAACCAAGACCACCTGACCATTTTTAGATGCGAAGCAGCTCTTGGACTAGCCTGTGTAACGCTGTCCGTCCGTACCTCCTTGCGAACGCGCCACACCGCATTCCCCCGTCGCAGTTGGAACGATGCAGAGTAGGTCGAGTCGCAGCTGCGCGTTGACGTCACTATCCCTCACCCACAGCAGCTGCTAGCTCTTCAGGAGCAAACACACTTAAGAGCCGTCCCACGCGCTTTCCTCACAACCGCAACGCACGTGCTGGCACACCTACCGCACCCAAGGAGAGGGTGAAAGAGCGTCGCCAATTGGCCTCCGCTTGCGTGCGGTAGGAGCCCCAGCACGTGCGTTGCGGCTGTGCGGGAAGCGCGTGGAACGGCCCTAAGTGGTGTTGCTCCTCCGCCCGCTCGCAAGACACTTCTCTCTCGCTTCACTCTCTCCACAGCACACAACGCTCGACAGCACATCGAGTGGACACACTATTTCGGATGGTTTATCTGCGATGAAACTTGCCCTAAACCCAACCCTCCTTCCGTGCCCTCGCATTTCAAAGAAACGTTTACTCGAGTAAAGGCTACACCGCATTTCGCTTCAAACCGTTCTTTCAGCACCCGCGTCGACGCTTGTTTCAGTCGGGCAACGGCGTGCGCACCGCTGCTGCTTCGCATCTCATAATGGTTCCCTTCAGGGAGATGGTCTATAATTTTATCTGTATTCACCAAGAACAAGATGCAAATTCAATTGAACTCATTCTAATTCGCTAGTAGATGTGAGACGTGTACCTGTGCACGAGCGTGGCGTTCTCCTGCTTGACTCGTCGGTAGAGGTCGCCATTGGAGGCCAGGGACTCGCTGAGCGCCGCCACCTGGCCCTGCAGCTGGTGAACCTGGTCGCCCAGCTCGTCCACGCACTGCTGCCGCCTCTCCTCTTCCTCTTGGTGGTGGTGGTTAGGCGAGGAAACGCCCAGGGTAAGGAGGTCCTCGGCCTCGAAGCTGCCCCGACGGGGACCCTCGGGCGCCAAGAGACCACTGGGCCTGCTTTCCGAGCACAAACATCGCGCTACAGTCGGTTAGGATATGGCCGAGAACGAATACAGGGTGCCCCGACAGCCATCGCTGCCCCACCAAAAAATGAATGGAACTGGTGCATCATCGAATAGAATTTGCTCCTTTCAGCGACGTCAAGCATTCCCACGATTTGGGGCCATCTGTACGTGGCGCCTTTTCTCGGCGGCGACAATGGCGTCCTGCCACAACTGAAAGATAAGTAAAAAGAAAAACATGTCTTCAGAACACTTGTTATCAATAACGACTCCCTATTATACGCAGTAGAGAACCACTGGAACTGTCTCTTGAAATTTAATCACACAACAAAGTGTGTAGCTTCCCAGGACAATTGAACACCACCCACTGATAAAAAAAGAGCGCACGGTGCCTCATTGTAAAATATGAAGCACTTCAGAAGCCGCGCTGTTTTTAGTGCGACACTAATTCTGCTAGAACAATTTCAGTGGGTCTCAGCTTATAACCGGGAGTCGTCTTTGTATAACTGACCGTTTTCGTCGGGTTTTCTTTTTTTTTTGCTTATTTCTCATTCAGTTGCGGCAGGCCACCACTGTTGCCGACAAGGCATGTCAGTGCACGTCCCCAATGTCCCCCATCCGTGTTCATGCGCGTTTTTCGTGTTGAATGCAAGTATCACAAACAGAAACATGTTTTTGTCGCTGGTATTAGGAACGAAGGAAGTAACGCGGGAATATTATATCAGAGAACACTGCGCCGCTGAAAGGGCTGAGCGTTAACATGAAGTAGAAAAAGAAGCAACGAAGCGTACCTCTGGACAGGACTTGACTTGCGACCAGACCTGGAACAAGGGGGCAGCAGAAAGGACACGCACAGGTTTACATGCAGGCCAGTCACAGAGAAACACACATGCGGCAGGCAACAACTGCTAGAGAAAAACAAAGAAGGCGCAAGAGACACACAAGCAGAAAAACACCGAGAGGCTTCGGAAGCGAAGGGGTTGGAAGAGCGCTAGATTTGAAGCGCCCCCCGTGCCATGTTCTAAGCTTCTCGGATATAGGACACCCAATTGTGTATACTATGGCGTAATCGATTAGTATACATGCTAGTACAAGACTATAGTGTATTACAATAATATTTATCGTTGGTACAGCATAGGGAAGGGCGGCAAGTGTATATTCCAGCTGCCTGCTCTCCCAACCCACCCAACTATTACACCCAACATGCACATGAATGCGCGCGGTAAGTTCGCCTAGCGCAAGTCCGACGTTCTTGCTCGTACAAAATCATGCTGCATGCCCGACAGTGCGCGTTTCCAGAAGAGCCCATTGCTTACTTTTTATTTCCCGAAACTGTTTCGTTTTTTTTTTTTTTACAGTCGCACCAGAAATAAGGGCCCGCTGTCTTCAACTGCTCCTTCGATTTTTATTTCAGCACCTCACGCACACGTTTCTTTAATAGTTACTTGATATTCCCATGCTTTATTTCTTTACATTTCTCTCGTTTTCGTATTTTTCATAGTTCGGTCGAAAATAGTACATCACACCCCGTTACACAATGAAACTGGGAGGGGCCAAGAATACACTGCATTCAATGAAAATTCTCTGCAGCGCTCGCGATGCCCTTGAGACACACGGCGAAGCGAGTCCACGGCCGCTGAATAAAATGGCCACCGCTGGGCGTTCACGCTACACACGCCCCTCGCCGACTTTCAATGGAACAACGAGCAAAGACGACACACGAGGCCACTATCTCACTCGTTGCGCTGAAGAAACAATGAGAAGGGAGCCCCACAGTGCTGCTCGCTGTTGCGTCCCTGCATCCTATATATACCTGCATGGTTGAATGGACAACTGCTAAGTGGCCCGGCCGTCTTATAGGACTGAAGACCTTGGAGCTTTTTGAGGCAAGGTCGATCTCTGGCCACGGCTGTACGCCTGAACGCGAAGATTTGTTGGCTCTGAACACCGATTTCCGTAATGGTATACAACGCGACCGTAAAATAGGCGGCTTTTCAGTGTCATTGTCGGTGACAGCCTATTTCTGAGATAGTGAAAAAGTTGCACTTCTTAAAGTCGTAGCAGCGGCAAAGCAGTCGGAGCGTTAGCCTCGAAAGCGGCAGGTGCTTGGTTCGATTCCCCCGCAGTGACACCCGGCAATATGAGGTGAGAACAGAGGTCATAGCTTCAATTAATTTCGCGCCAAAATACCAACACGAAAACAGTGTTGATTAGTAGCACGAAATGCTACTCGTAGTATGCATTTACGTTGCCTCAGTAAGGGTTCACGAAACTTGCTATGATAAATCTCTGGTTACCTCGGAATTCAAGACAACCCACTTGTACGAAACGAGCAGCTGTCAATAGCATTGATGTCTAGGCGAGCCGGCGCGGTAACTTCAAGCAGGCATCACCAATTTTTTTTTATCTTTGTGCGCCTTTTCAGCGTCAACGAGCATCTACTCCAGGCGGTAGTGTTGTCTGTGTGCGCATGCGCTTATACGGGCGCTGCAGCGCTGGAGTGCGTGCAGTGACGAATACTGATATGAACGCGAAAAGAATTGTCGAAATCGGCGCACGGCAACGGAGGTTATTAGCCTTCGAACTTCGAAACCCCCAAAACACGACGATAAAAAAACGTTCCCTATCGCATATCCCTCTCCCACTGACGTGAAAGGCCGGTTCCAATCGCCACGCGCCTCTTACAAGGACAAACCGGACGATTCGTCTCGTAGTCGCCATTGAACAATGCTCCTTGCGGCGTTTCTCCATTGTTATCATTCTCATGTCTAAAACAAAAATCATTTTGCATCTAATAGAGTTTAAAGATTTTGAAGACAGAATTAAACTGCGCGAAGAAGACAACACGTTAGACACGTAGAACAAGCACACGGAAAGCTCTATGTGTCTAGAGCGTTGTGTTCGTCGTGCAGCTTAATTATGTCTTCAAAATTAACTAACCAACTCGCCGAACAAGATGCATAACTTGAGTGTAAAGAGTGTTTTCATCATTTTTAGCGCTCAATAGCGTCGCCTATCTCGGACCACGTGAGCATTTCGTGAGACTTGTCGCGTCAGACCAATTAAAAACTACCTACCAATGTGATCACTTTCGCGTGATGAAGCGTCACTTGCGATCGCAAAAATAGCCGTCACGTGTCACTTTGGTCTGAGAACTGACTGCTTTCTCCGAGAACATAAAATTACAACAGTCTTGTTTTTTGGCGTTACCACTCGCACAACGATACCGGTGCGTTGTTCCACAGTTCGATAGGTAGTGGCAAACACTACACGCTTGATTGCCGTGTCGCAGGATTCCTTTATTGAGAAGTGGGAGGCAGTAAGCCACTATTACAAGCGAGACCATCTTTTTTTCTCTTTTACTAGATACTTTTTTGTGCGAATGGGTTCTGCGAGAATTCGCGAGGTGGCGGAAGGGCGGTGCAAATAGGGCAGTTAACGATTTTGTTCTTTTCATAGTGTCCTTTAAGTGGGCCACCCTGTCGATTTTTCACAGGCGCACAATGCGTTTTTCACACTCGCCGCTCCAGAGTAGCGCTGCGTATTGTAGCGACATCCTTCGACGGACACCACCCGCTGGCAATCCATGGCGCAGGTCTCCAAAAATTCCTCCGCACACTAAGCCATACACTCAGTGGCACGCAATCGCTATACCAGGTCATGCACGAACAATCATCGAGAGAGCGTATAGAGAGTATATGCATGCAGGCGATGGTGCGAATATTCCATCGACTGACCCCGATCGACGCAGGCTGGTCCTGAGCCACGAGTTCCGCTGCGGTAGGTGTCGGCGTCCACTTCCTCCTCCTCCGGTACTTCCGCCGCTGCTGCTCGTGCTACGGAAGCTGTCCGAGCTGCGAAGGTGAGACAACAACAATGGGCCCCCCAAGAGATACACGCAAAGGCGAAGTGCATACGGATAATGCGTATATGCGCGCGGTGACTCAGATCGACTGGCTGGGATGATTGGCAGTGCCAATCTGATATATGCGAGCTGAGCGGCACTATACGGGTATAGGTTTTGAGGAACCCCAGAAGCCCAGTGAAAGAAAAAAAAATGGAACAGGCGTCTAGTCCAGCGGGCCCGCGAGGTGGCCGACAGGCTCTACCTTGCCGGTTCCACCGAGGGAATGATGAGCCGGGTACGCGACCCAGTCGCATTCCGCAGGACACGATAAAGTTGGTTTCCAATCAAGTCCAGGCATATAACTGTCTTCTCTTGTCTATATTGGACTGTGACCACATTCACCCGCTCGCATTCCGCTGGACACAACAAAGCTGCTTTCCCATCAAGTCCAGGAGTATAACTCTCTTATCTATATTGCACTGTGACCGCCTTCCTGTCATTTTTCTCTAGGGAATCTCTGCATATAGAGCATGTCATTGTTCCAGGGACGATATTTATCAAGACAATTCGCTTGCCACAGTGCGCCCTCACAGTACAGTTACGTAGAGGACGTCGCCGCAGCCGACAATTCTGCTCCGCTACGGCGAGGTTGCTAGTACACGTCATGATCACCGCAAAGTCACCGAACCTTAATCGCGGGTATAGCATCACAGCGGGTTTATATATTAATGTACAGAGCGGTTCACTGTTAAAAGGTAACACCGGAGCGCGTGTCGTTTGCTCCGCGCCACCACCGGTCCACTGCGGCAACTGGTTTCGCGCAGGAGCAGTGAGCGATGTGGGCGGCGCTTGTTTGTCGTCGGCTACGATTCCGGCCGCGCTTCAGCTCGTCGCGAAACCAGCCGTCACCACGCTTTGAAATTAGTCCGCAGGCTGCATGGCCACGTTCAGATGGATAGCTGTGGCAAAGTTCAAAAGAAATTAGATTACGTAAAATACTACCTCACTGATACTTCTGGTGGTTAAAGAAGCACGACTTCTTTTCAGAAGTCTTTTTCTAGCATAACTATATTTGAAAAAAAAATATTTTTCCTTGTGAAGTTACGTGCACTAATGCAGATTTAAGCAGCTGCAATGCGTAAGCTCAACAAAGATTTACAAGCGCCTTTAACTTACGCCACCAGAAAACTTTCTCGATGCGGGCAATCCTTAATCTATAACGAGAAGGCGAACGAAAGATGCCCATCCGGCTGATGTGACAGCTGACATTTATCTGATTATAGATCGATCCCGTCATCTTCCTTCTGGGACGAAAGAAAACGATCGACTATTTTTAAGATTTTGCGACTTAAGCCACCCATGCACAGCGCTAACTGCTACTGCGCGAAACTATTTGCCGCAGCCACAGCAGACGACACGCACTCCGGTGTTCCATTCAACAGCAGCTGAGCCCTCTGTACATATATATACTTTTTTCTACGCATTGCAGTATACAACTTCACACACACACACACTATATACAAATTAGCAGCATTCACACTGCGCATCACATGAAAATTACATTCCAAGTTGTTTACTGCACCCGCTATGCAAAACGAAGCATCAAGTATACAGTATACACCACGGTCTCAAGCACGACATCTCTTTCGAAACCCTCGTCAGTTGAAAGCCCGATAATACGTATACATTTCGTCATGAAAAAGACGTGTCATTACCTGAGCGGCGTCTTGCCGACGTCCATGACGCCGTAGTCCTCTTCTTCGACGTCGCACTCGAAGGTCTCCTCGGCGTCGCTGTAACTGGGACTACCGCTGCTCCCACTGCGTACACAACAGAATAAGGTCTTATTAATTATTCATAATTATTAGTTCACTAATTAGGTAAATGCAATGAAAAAGTTGGTGCACGCCGATGGCATATCTCCATTCGAAATTTGCACCAAAATTACTAGAAATCAGATATATGAGCGCGGAAGAACGCAGAGAAATCTATACCGACTCCATTCCTTTTACGAAAGACGTTATTAGAGTGAAACCTCGGTGATATGATTCCGGCTCGTGCAAACTTCTGGATAATACAAACTTTTCTGTGGTCCCGACCAACGCCACTTAGCCTGCAGTATATAGAGTACGGATGACGCAAGCAGTTTTCTACGCCGCGACGTTTGATACAGACGTACGCTACAGCTTGGTTTGAACCACGGAGCTGCCTGCACGAAAGCGGGTGCCCAAGCACAGGCATTTCCACTGCGCCACCCGTTTTTCAGGATGACCCATCAGCGGCGCGTGGCTCATGCACGGCAGACTCTGCCAAGGTGGCGCTGCGAAAAATTCCGCCACCAGCGCACCTATCGACGCGTCGGCCATAATCGGGTAGTGTAAAGAGAAGCGGTCCGCAAGCGAACGTTCATAGGCCCTCTTGTTTCGTCATCCTGAGGCACGGTTTCATGAAAAATCAAGGGCCTGGCAAGCTTCTTCCGTCAATTCAACCTCGCTTCAGAAAAGTAGGAAGCTCATCAAAGCGAACTATGCGGGTACAACGCAAAAGATGTTTCAGTTACTTCGGTGTGCTGCAATAAGTGCAAGCGCGCATCGCATGACACCGAGTTCGAGGCGAGCACTCCGCCGTGCGTTTATTAACGCTTAAATGCATTAAACTTGGGCATTCACATGTTGCGAAAGCGATGAAGCACCTACACGAGCATTCTATCTTACGATCAATGCCACGAAGCTCGCTTTATCCAGGACGAATGACCCTGACGATTTTCATCTTTGCAGTTGCATTCTCTATCGATCTCTCGCTTTCTGTGCGTTGAACTTGTTAAGTTAACGGTTGTCATCCGTTTGTATATACTGCAACTAAGGGTACACGCGGGTCCACTTCCTCAGTGAACAACGAAATACAAAACCGAGCCCTCCGAGATAGCTCCGACAATCGCGGAGACCAACGGCAAGAAAAAACCTGATCGTGGTGGCGATCATTCTGTGTGGCGTATACGTGTTCGCATTTCTTAATTACAGCCGCAACTTAGAGCCTTCAAATCCCTACGTGCGTAATGCCGTGCGGTGGTGACAACTTCACATTATCGGTGGTCCCGGCTTGTGCGATGTTTATCGCGCACGTCAACTCCCTGTTGCCCGGCGCGCACCGCGGTCAGAAGCTGCGTTAAGCTTCATAATAAAAGTTACCACGATCGGGCGCACTATCATATCACCTATACACATTATCTCGCTTTCTCGTGCAACCAGCTGTGGCGAACGCGAGTAATTCGCTCACCCAACACGTTCGCGAGCGCACGTATCCAACGCTCTCACCGTTCTGCTTCGCGAAAGCTGCAGAAATCAGCAAAACTGAATGCCTTTACGTCTGTGGTAATTCACAACGCGTCGACCGGAGTCTTTTTTGTAGAGTGCGGAGATGTTGCGTCTACAGTTGATTTCGCCGTCGTTCTGACGAGTGAAAAGCAAGCACTTTACGGCGGTTCGGTGACGCCTCCAACTGGCGGATAGAAATTCCTAGCTCTTTTCCCAAGTGTTCAATGCGCATATACACCTGATGTTTCGCTCGTTGCGCAGCAAACTGTGCGAGGGAGCCGTCTTCATTTCGTCGCTTAACGCCGGCGTTGCCACGCCAGGCGCCGTACTCACAGGCGCGCGCCGCGCTGCGTTGCTTTGACGCATGCGCGTTTCAGCGCGTCCGGCGTCCCTCCGTCACGAAAAAAGGCAGACGCACCGCTGTCTGCTGGGTAACGTAGTGGGTGTGCAATGCATCATGTCACATTTCGCGCCGGTTGGCGTCGGGCCGCGCCGACGGACGCTGGTCGTGCCGGTCGCGCCTGGCGTCAGACTATAGAATTCTCACGTTTTTCTAACGTATAGCGTCGCTGTGCCCAGCGTGCGCGCGCGTCAAAGTTACGTTAGAGCATCTTGGGCCCTTCATGATGCGCTCGCGGCTGTTTGGCTAGCTGCACATATACCAAATTTTGTGTTACATGACATCAATGGATGACGAAAGTATATGATTGGTGCAAACATGATAATCCTGACACACGTCTCATGTAAAAACATGACAGCGTACCACGCTCATAGCTTCTCGTGGTCACTTCGCTAGCTCCACATATAGTAAATTTAGTATCACGTGACATGAGTAGATGGGGAAGGTAAACGACACATCCAAACATAATCATAACACGTAAGTCGTGTACGGCATAATTTACCTCCAGCTCGTAACGTTGTGGTGATTGTAAAGTGACATATCAACCTTCCTTATTCTTGCTTCGCATATCATCGATTCCCACTGTACGTGGAATCTGCCATTTTTTACGGGGACAAATATGATGGTCGACGCCCAGAAACTTTACTGGCAATTATTAAGAGCCGTGCATGATGTTGCTGTGGCCCCAATAAACAATAAATGAAAACAGAGAGCTTTTCTGTTGTCGCATACCAATTTTCCATGTTTTCTGGTGTAGGTGCCGCATATTTTCTTGTATTATCTGGCGAAGTACAGCGCTTTTTTCCTCTGTTGTCTCATCTTTTTTTAATTGTTCTATGCGCTGTTAACACTTTTTCAAGAGGGATATTATCAAATTACGGATTACGCGAACGTTTTTATTTATCCTGCAAGATTCGTATCACCGAGGCTTTACTGCATACAGGTTGATAAATGTCAGGGGAACAAGGTGTGGGTGATCAATTCCACTACAGACACGCAATCGTCGATCACACTCTTCTCGAACGAACAGCGGCTTTTTGGCACGAGGCCACTGCACCGCGCGTCACGTGGCCCTCGTGGATGAGGGAAAGAAAGTCTGGACAAACACGTACCGATGCCAACTCAATAACGACCGTCCATATAGCACGTGCCGCACTATAGAGCGGGCCAGATTATCCCGCTGCGCGAGAGAGAATGCCAGCGAACGACGCGTACAGTAGGACAGCTGGCAGCAAGCTCTGCAAATGCGAAGACCGCGTAGGACAAGTCGAAGAAAGAGCGCCAAATGCCCTAGGTTTACCCATAAAGGTTCCCGTGTGTGTGTGGGGGGGGGGGGGGGGGGTCAGTAAAGGTCACCTCAGGCGGTGACGGGATAGTCTCCATCGATGCGCAGCACAAAAGCGCTCTTTATTGAGGACTACGCGCCTTGAAGCAACTTCGGGAATTAACTGTTGTTCTTATGTGTATGCGTGACTGTAAGCATTGTATATTGTACAGCAACATCCCACACCTACAGTAGAAACCACACTATCATCACAGTAATCATTTTAAGAAAAATGTTACTAGATGCCTCATCGAACGCCGGAAAACCCAAGAAAACGAAGAAGATGGGAGTTGTCTTACGCGAATGGGCGAGGCACTCAATTGCGTAATGAGCAAAAGCAACCACGCGCATTCTGACTCAGTTTCTTTGTTGACATAGTAACTTTCAGCACCGTCTCGATAATACTATAGTCTTACAAAGGACCAGTTAGATTCAAAGCAAGCAAACATACACACACGCACATATGGTGATTTTGGGACGTTAAACCCCACAAATCAATCAATCACACACGCACAAACTAACAAACAAGCACACTAACGAATACGCGCGCACGCGCACAGCGTTCATCTTTCTGGAGTGTGCTTCCTGTTTATATTTATTTCGACTGTATCATTAGAACGGCGATGGTGACCTGGCGCTCCCATTTCGAACGGGTCACCTGCGCGATTCGCACGCCGTAGACCCTAAACGAAAACTGCAGAACAAATCAGAGAAGAGAGCGCTCTGTTGTGTACACGCAATCTAACTGCGTTTCCAGCATCTCAACTTTCATGTTCACGCATTTTACATTAACTGCAATGGACCAGCAATTTTTAACCATCTATAGCACAGCATGACATTGTATAAACAGCGTGAAAGCGCACGAATATTTTGAGGACATTTAGGCTGACTAATGCGCGCATTACTTTTACGTACGCCTGTCATCACGCCCTGAGCAGTGCGGAAGAAAAAGAACGCAGAATCGCGATAAATACATAAACAGAATATCATTCGCCGTGCGCAAGTGAAGCGTGCACAAAGGTCGGCGTAATGAGTCACGACTAGAAGTGACTCACGTGTCTGTTGCGCATTCGTTCCACAGGTGTGAAATAAAAGCGTCATTTATTTATGGATGGCGTAAGTCTGTACGTACGTATATATGAGCAAATCCGTGTGGTCATGTGCATATTAAGGCCCTTGAGTGAATGCATATCGACCCCTGCGTGAGTGATTGAAAGTAGAGGTCTTCAACACACGGCCCGCGGTCCACGCATGACTGTCTTCGTACCACATTGTTTTTAATTTTTTTAGTTTGTACGCTCGTGAGCTACACAGGCATGACTGGCCCAAATCACTTCTTTTTGTAAGCACCTCATGTGGTCATGCCCAGCCGCGGTGGTCTAGTGGCCAAGGTACTCGGCTGCTGACCCGCAGGTCGCGGGTTCAAATCCCGGCTGCGGCGGCTGCATTTCCGATGGAGGCGGAAACGTTGTAGGCCCGTGTGTTCAGATTTGGGTGCACGTTAAAGAACCCCAGGTGGTAGAAATTTCCGGAGCCCTGCACTGTGGTGCCTCTCATAATCCTATGGTGATTTTGGGACGTTAAACCCCACATATCAATCAATCAATCAATCATGTGGTCATCATGTGTTCTATACCTAACCCTGAAACAAACCATTTCAGAATCGGCGTCACTAGACACTTTAACGATCCATATGTTGGAATGCTGCGCGCCAAATCTTCAGAAATGATATCTATATCAAATATGCCAAAGGCTTTATTTCAAAAAAAGATATTCGTTGACAATTTATGCAAACTCCCCCCCCCCCCCCTTTTCGCCGATTATGTCTTTGCTTTCTTCCCTGTTCTGGCTGTTGATTAAATTGCGTGACTGCAGCCCGCTGGCTCAGGCGAGTTTGAGAGACCTGCTACAGTCGGGTACAGCTTTAGAAGTCCGCGTCATTTGCTCCTTCAAAAGAGGATGCACACTATGTCTGCACAAATGGGCGAGCACTTCAGGCCGACTTCATGACTCAGACGACCCCTCCTTCAGAGCATGTTGCAGGAGCACGAGTGCGACTGCATTCATTAAGTGGTGGAGGCGATCGGCTGCCGTGGTTCGGTCGTCTAGGCAATGTTTTCTAAAAATTGTGATATAGAGAAATACGTTCACTTTCGGTTTGTGAACATGCAGCCGCAAGAACTTTGCGAATAAGTGCTATGCTAAGAAAGTTACGAGGTTATAACATTGATTTCAGCTGCTTTCAACAATTCGCGCGACCTGGCCACCCTTCTCCCTCACTGAGAGGGGAAGGCGTAGCCCGTCATCGTGGCTGGCTTTGACCGATCGACGAGCAGCGTGCTACGTCAAGTCGCCGATCGGAGACTGCGCGTGAAAGGAGGTCTGGTCAGACGTAGGAAAGGAGCGCAGGATTTTTTTTTTTTCAAAATGGAGGCCCTGTGTGGCGCACAGCCCTGTAATATTCGGAAACCATGATCGCCGCGGTCTACTCTACGAATTGCCGAGCTTCTTTCGGGGGTGTACAGAAAAAGTCGGGGCCTGCTAACTGGTTCTTAATATTATATCCGTTTATGTCAAAACGCACTAAGGATACCCACCAGTGTGCTCCATGAATAAGAAAAGGTTTGCGTACCACTCGAAAGCAAAAAGAATACATGAAAAGAAAGAAAACGCCGAGTATGCTGTTGTTAATAATTTAGTTAATCAGGAAAGCGAGATCACTGAACAAACCAAGCCATCAGTCGAAAGTTTTCTGGCGAAGGTTCAGTTTTCGCTATTAGTGGAAAAGTGGAGGGGGTCGAAATATTGAAATCAAATTCCGGAATTCATAATAAAGTTGAAGTACGCACTATAATGTAGAAATTCCGATGAATTTTCCTCATTTCAAATGCTTTAACGTATACACCGAAGTATTAAGCACACGGGCGTTCTTGGCATTTCCTACTTCCGCCTACTTTTATTCACTAAAGCAAAAATGTCCCGTACCTTTTGGCTAGCCCATCCAATCAAAATATCCAAATAGCGATTGTATAATTCGGTGTCACACGGGCACTTTTGATCGCGATCAGGGTCGATCCGGATTAGGCTCGATCTAAATCAGGTGCGATCAGGGTCGAGACAATTGCAATCTTCATATCGCAATCTAGCTCCGTGAACGGGAATCGGCTGAGGTCTGCACCTAACTGATCCAGATTATACAGTAGCGCGTATCAGCGATTAACTTATCATCGAGCATCAAGAAGTCTTATCTGGATTCGCCCTGATCGAGATGAGAAATTGATCTGAATTAGCAGATTACGCTTTAGAAAAAACGAAGGTGCCACTTGCTAAAGCAAAAACATAAGAGCCTTGAAGCGAACCCGCGCCTTCGAGCACAGCAACGCAACAGCTCAGCCGCTCATACATATATAGCACAGCCGGCACTTTGGTAAGCGTGCGCGTAATGCTCAGCAGGTACTCGGGTTTATGTGTTGTCAATATGATTGTTGTGCTAAAACATAGTACTAAAGAAGTTCTCGTGTAACAATTCATTACGAACACAAACAACAATCGGAAATTATAAGTGCCTTTAGCTTGTATGTATACTTCTCTACGTTAGCGTGTTATCATGGACACAGGAAGGAATCTGCGCATGTGCGGACCTTTATGAAACGAACAGATTTACGGAACGTAAGATCCTCACCGGATAGGCCTTATGTTTCGACCCGCCGCGGTGGTCTAGTGGCTAAGGTACTCGGCTGCTGACCCGCAGATCGCGGGATCAAAGCTGTGGCGGCTGCATTTCCGATGGAGGCGGAAATGCTGTAGGCCCGTGTGCTCAGATTTGGGTGCACGTTAAAGAACCCCACGTGGTCTAAATTTCCGGAGCCCTCCACTACGGCGTCTCTCAATCATATGGTGGTTTTGGGACGTTAAACCCCACATATCATATCAGCCTTACGTTTCTGCCCCTATCTCACAAATCCGCATTCGTTTGTGGCTACTCGCGATATCAGCTTTGAGACTCCAGTCACCGAATCAAAACATGCGTAAGTTCAAGCGATCATCTTATTGTTTCAGCAAGATTGCCGAAGCTCGAGTGACCTAGCATGCCGAAGCCACAAACGTGAAAAGCCTTTCGCAGGCTAGATATGTGGCGCCATCTAGCAGGGCTAAGATGAGCCAAGCAATCACGGAATAATTATTTAAGAAACGTCGTGCACTCCACTTCTGGTGTATATGACTTTCAGCACCATAATTATGAATAAGTTGCATTTTTTTAGTTTTTGCCTTCAAAAACACTAGGTGAAAGCAAATGTGTCCATGGTTGATTGAACGAATCGTAACAAAATGACACCATCACACCGTAAGCCGGTATTTTTACACTTCTTGGCGTACATTGGGATACTTTAAACGATAAAATATCCCATGATTTTGCCGCAGTGGTGAATGAAGTTGAAAACATTTAGTGGTCTGCGCAAACGTAAACACCTACGTTTATGTATCTGTATTACGTACGTAGAAGTTTAGGCATGTACGTCAACGCTTACATACGGGAGCTAAAACTTACCCAAAACATGCGTTCCACGGTAACACAGTAAACGAAATCCAATATTCCGCTAACACGGTAACATTAAACATAGGTACAAGCTAAATGTCCCTACTACCTGCGGCTTCGCATGCCAAAACCACAGTACTGCGATGAAGGCCATTGAGTATTGCTCCAGAAATTGCACCATCAGGTGCTCTTTCATTTGTCCTGGCATCGCATCGCACGGGGGTCTTTATAACCTTTCACCGCCGTCGAAATGCGACCGCCACGCGTAGAATTAAACCCACGACCAACGGGTCAACAGCGTATAGCTATATATCTGTACCACAGATAGGGACTAAGAGTGTGAAATTGATCTTTGCGGTTAGCGTTATCGAAATTTGGCTTTTTAATGACATTATTCTCAATAGAACTGATTTATTTTTATTATTTAGAAAGTTTGCCCACCGACATACAGTGCTAGTTAAAAGACGATTTGCGATATATACATCAATGATGGTGGGGTCCATAGGGTCCACATGAAGTATCTATGGCTAGCGCTGTGTTTTCTTTGCGTCAGTGTCGCAGTCGTGTAACCTACCGCAGTTAATGTTAACCGACTCGCTCGACTTTTAGCCTTGTCAGGCATTTGGTATTCTCCCCGCGTGAGAAGGATACGTGGCTTTTGTATACCGTGACGGATTGGTGAAGGCATCCGACGCACGCTTACTATATACATCGTGACGTACGAGTCGGGTTACGTGCGTCACTTACACTGCACTGTTTTGCGTGTTTATAGTCGCCACTACCCTTGAATAGCGGCGTTCTAGAGTTTCCCGGACAACGGAGCCAGTAACGTCGCTTCGACCGAACTAGCAGAATTATTCCAGTGTCACTCGCACGTACTACGAGCATTGGATAATTCAGGACTGTTTCAAGCGCTTCACTCGTGGACAAACTGACCAGTCTGTGCACTCAAAGCTCGATATAATAAACCCAAATATAACGATTTATCGGTTACAACAAAGTAAGCGATGAATATCTGTCAGATACAGTGCTTCAAATGTATTTTTAAGAATGTTCGGATATAACGAAGTATTTTTTTGTGACAGGTGTGACTTATGATGAGGTTTCAGTTTATACGACTCGAAGATATGATACAGGAGATAAATTTGCACCTGGCGCTTAAGGAATTATTGCTCAGCTCCAAACTCGTGAAAAGATCACGTGCTTCGTGACGTCAGCGAGCAGAGTGTTCTACACTCGTTGTCATGGCTAGCAAAGGCGCTGACTAACACTCGCACGTTTAAATGCACATATATACCCCATATAGTGAATGGGGGATGGCCTGCCCAGTAGCTCGGTTGGTAGAGCAACAGACGTGCTATTCGAAGGTCGCGGGTTCGGTTCCTGCAGCCAGCGGCAAGTTAGCCTTTCAATCATTTTTATTTCTTCGAATTTCATTACAAATACATTTAATGGCATGCCCTATATACTCTAAGATTTTTTTCTTTGTTTTTAGTATACGAGTTCTAGTAAGACATGTTACTTCATGGAAGCGGTCATGTAAGTTTCATTGACGGCGTGAATGTTGCATAAAGTTGAAAGTCTATTTCCGACGCTAAAACTAAAAGAAGAACAATTATTATGCCCCGATGATTTTGCTGCCCCAACTCTACGTTGGATTCATTTGGCTGCGTCTACCAAAAAAATCAGCCCCTCGAAAAAAAAATTATCTTTCGTAAATTCTACTACACAGTCCTCTGCGGGGATTCTTTGTACGAGGAAGACATTCAAATAGTCTCAGTATTTGAAATAAAAAAAATGGCAGTTTGTTGTCTGTTTCTCTAGCGTCAACACTCATTTCCGCAACGTTACCACCTCATAAAATACGAGAAAAAAAAAGCAAAAATAAGAGCGAGCGAGAGAGACTGACCCGCCCTTGTGGTTGACGGGCGAGCATCGGTCACTGGGTGGCAGCGCGCTGTCCGTCGGGCTGTCCGGCCGCTGCGAAGAATTCATGTACGCCTCGTCTACCCCAGCGCCACCGCCGCAAGGGGGAGTCTGCACGAGAACACGCGATACAGCACGTGGTTACGATCATGATCAGGTAGAGTACATTATATACACATTAAATGACTTAACTATTGCATTACTTGGGTACATTAGACCCCTTCAGTGACGACTTTGCAGTATAACAGAGAGAGATGCATTAACATTCCACTTAATTATTTCATTACCTTGAATTATTTCGTAACCAATACCAACTATCTAGAGCCAACAGTAGACAGTACAAACCAAGATCAGCAGACAGCACCGGCAGTGTGCGAACAGGTATACAGTAGTAATACCAGCCCAAACTCACACTTCTGTTTCCGCTTCAGTACTTTTAGCGTGTTTGCCCTCATGTTGCGAAAGTGTTTCGCACGTACGAAATGAGGTACCTCAAGATATGAAGCAGTATACAGAGCGGACCTTGCGTATAGAAGTGTGCGACGGAAAAATAATAGCACACGAAATTATACGTTATATGCTGTGACATTCCAGACAAGCCTTACAGGACATCTTCATGTTGAACAAACGGCATGGACTTAAAAATTAATAAAAGAAGTCACAGCTTTGCCGCAAAGGCGAAGCAATGAACGCGATAGCAACTAATTAGAAGGTCACGCGCCGTATGGAAAGCAGGTTGAAACGTGCCCCACGTTTCTCACGCACGAAACTTACAAATACAGATGCAAGCGAATAAGCGTCTCAGCTGTTACTTCGATGTGCCCGAAAAGCGCGCATTTCACAAACAAGAAAATGAAGTTTCCCCAGATGAAGCTGCGGCGTGGTGGAAGGCCGCTCTACGCAGCTCCCAGCAAACCTCCGCGCAACGTATAACGCATCAAATTTCCTAAAGCGCTTGCTTATATGTAAACAAAGCCATGCCCCACGCTTAGAGATGCCCGAATATTGATAAGTATGCGCACACGCTAAGTAGTGGCTCACCGAGGTGAACTAAGTCGTCGCGACCGAATTGATTGGAACAAACTACCGTACTATCCGTCACCTTCTTTCCAATGCGCAAGTTTGATTTGCACCGTTCTCCGCCGCGCGTCGTCGGCATCCTTCGGGAAGGAATAGAACGATACGTTGCCATCTTTCCACCACGATGCCACGCATTTCGGCACGCTGCAATTGTCCTTGAACATAGCTTTCTTCTTTTTCGAGGTGACGCGTGCGGCATGGCGAAAACAAAGGAACTATGCAGCCGCTTCTCAACGCGCACAACGTGGGAACCTATCTCATTTCATGGTTAAACCAGTTAGCAACGTTGCCAGGCGCGGCCGCTTGGTAGCGAGCGCTCACTTGGAGTCGCGAATAGCCTTCGTGTTACATGCTGTTACATCTACCCTCTGAGGAGGAAAATGTAGCCCTCTGACCTTTTCTTTTTCTTTTGTTTTGCCAGTCTTCACTTTCCACGTATACGGCCTTCTCACGGGACTCGGAAGAGTCTCCATAACCAGTTCGACACTTTACTAGCCAGGACCCACCTAAAAGGGTAGCACACACTCTTGTTTTGTTGTTGTTGATGTGTCGTTCGTATATTTCCGTCAACATCACAGACTATAAACGAACACAGCTACTGTGAGTGTGCGTTGTGTGTGCGAGTGGGAGTGGGGGGGGGGGGGGGATGTAGGTGTGTCCTGCATAACCGAAGCTGCATTGTTGCACCGTCCTTGGACGTACTTCCGTGCCCGGACTCTTTATTCATCGCGATACACATATATACAGGAAAGAGCAGCGGTCGTCGTACATCGCGTTTCCCGGTGCCATTTCCGAGGCTGGCCGGCCGGTGATGAGCGCTGCTCGCTCACCCCAATCACGCTCCTCGCTGGTGCAGCCGAGTCCCAAGGCTGCAGTGGCCACGGCTGCCGGAGCCGCAAGTGGCGCGCGACGGACGAAGCCGTCCACGCCCCGACAGAGAGAGGTGCACACAGACAGACACAGGCTACTACATACTCAGCGGAATACGTTAACCTCGACACGCGGGGCTGCCCGACACGCATTAGTCGATCAGTTTCGCGCCAACGGACTCGTGGGCGTCCTCCGGGGTGGTTGATTCGTACAGTGTGTGTGTGTGTGTGTGTGTGTGTGTGTGTGTATATATTATATATATATATATATATATATATATATATATATATATATATATATATATATATATATATATATATATATATATATCGAAGGGTCAAAGCATGATGCGCATCCCGTGAAGCGACTACATTTGTTGTTAGTATTGCTTTTCTTGGTTAAATAGCCATCACTGCTATTATTTGGTTGACTGGTTATTGGAAAAGTGGCTGAACCCACCCCACAGGGGATCGGCCATGAATGTAGCGCGGCAGTACGAGTTCTGAAAAGAATTTCAGAAAACAAAATCCTGAATGGCAGTTTGTGCGACTCAAATATCACGTGGAAAACATGATATTTGAGTCGTCATCATGAATATCATCGTCACTATGATCATTAGTTCTGTTGTTCCCGTCGTAGTAGGTAGTCGATGGCGATGCAGCAGCAGCGAGTATATGCGCAAGTGAACTTAGAGAATATATGACATTGCCGGCGTCTCAAAAGATGCTGCTCAGCTTCACGAGTGGCTACTCACTCACTAGCTCCTATACGAAGTCGTAAGTACACCGCATAAAGGGCGACGTTGAACCACACCATATACGTTCAATAATACCATACGCTAACTGAACCACAGTGACTTGACCTCATCCATGCTAAATATATTCGCTGCAGCGCATGCAATGTCCATTTGTGTCGAATTGTCGTTTCTCCGCTTGCATATTTCTCATAACGAACGATCTAGATATAACAAGCCGAACAGTACGTAATTGTGCTCTGCATACAAGCCAAACGACTGCAGGGGTATAAAACGTTACAGGCCTTACGCCTATAATCGACGACTTGTATGACCGTAGCTTCGTCCTCTCGGCGGAACACTGAGCACGTTTTTAATCAATTAATCAACCAATCAATGACTTAATCGATTTTCATCAGTAAAAAATGAGGAATTACAATATAGAAATATGTAGGGAGGTCCCATGGTTACAGACCACCAACTAGCACCTAATAGGCCAAAATAATATATCGAAAATATGTTAAGACCGAATTAAAATGTCGATGTTACCAAGGGGCATCGAATATTTCAACGGCTAGCTTCAAAGGTTGAAGTAAACCGATGTAACAAAGGTAGCGGAACGCAACCGTTACAAATTAAATAAGCAATTTTAGGGTTCGGCTAAGCACGAACACACGATGTCGTCCTTTTCTATACGACATAACTCTTTCGTTACCGCGCGAAAATGGCTAGTGTTCGTATGTCTCGGGAATACTGTTTTTGCCAGTTTGAAAACTACTCTAGGACACATTGCAGCATACCAAATTTTGCGAAATGTAATGCTCTTTCCAGAAATGTGTCCTGTAGATCACCGAATATACTTTAGAATAAATAAAAATGTGGAGAGAGTATAATTTATTATTGCCAGCTGGTAAACAGCACAAGAGAAAACAGTATACATAAATGCAAAAATATTCGAAACGAAAAAATTCAGAACACACATTTCCAAGACAAGTGATCCTGGAACAGTATAAAAATTAATTAACGTGGTAGAAAACATTTCTGTTCACAGAGACAAGGAAAATCGCAACTAAGGTGCTGCTTCGTTGCACGTGCCGTGCTGTGAAGCATTACTTGGTTTTTCTGACGACACAAGTGAGCTCGTAAATTTTTTCTCAGAAAATTTGTTTTTTTTTTGTGTGTGATTAAACCCTCCAGGTGTTCAGATATATATGTATACCCGTTATGTGAATAATACTTCTATAAACCAGATGCCCAATGAACTTCGCTATTTTGTCTAGCGTAACCTCTTTCCATGAGCCACCTCACATAGCATAGATTGGTGTTCCAGTACATGCATGTAAGCGCATTTCTGAGCATTTTGCTCATCGCATTAAATAAAAAAAGAACGATACAGCGTGAACTTCTAAGACATTTCGCGCTGCTCCGTAGTCAGGACCAAGATGTGCTCCGGTGGCCTCCTTGTCGTTAGGAGAAGCTCTGCATCCGGCGCTAGCAGCGAAGTGTGGACCTCGCGCGTAACCAGAGTAACTATAACATTGTGCACAAAGGTCAGTAGCTACGCACTTGCGGCAGAGAAGACAACTTAAGACTGTAAAAAAAAAACACGAACGGCTGCGGATGTCTCAGGCTGATGCAGAACATCGTCGCCGCAAAACACGAAGCCGTGGTTCTGTCATCCACAGACTCTAAGCTCGTCCTCGCTCAGTTCGGGTAGGGTTGCAAGGCAGTTTCGAGCAGTTCGTGTGTTTTGCAGCGCTGGTGCGCACCCATGCGCGCGTGACGATGATGCCATAGAAGTGACTAGTGATACTATAGATGCGACCCTGTGTCTGGTGTAACAATGCGAGCAAAACAAAAGCTACTGAAAACTGGCGGAGGAGGTCATCTCGACGCTTTAAACATGCTGCGGACCTTCTGAAATATTTTTTTTGTTAAATAAATTTTACCTGACTCCTGCAACAACATCTCTTTATTGAATAGCTGGCATAAATTTCCGGCAATCATTACTGCTCAACACTGTATAACTGCGAAGCTGACTTTCGTTCGATGTTTGGCTTTCAAAGATTCTTTTAATTACATACATTCGATGGTACTGGAGCGTAATCACGAAGGGCGCGTATTTTTGTCATGTCCGCCAGCCTTGCGCATTTTTCTAGCAACACATGCACATTGGGTGCACACGTTTTAATATATCACTATGTAGCCAAAACAGGCAAATTCAAATTGTTTCTGAAAGTTGAATGGCTAGACTAGAAGAAGAAAAAAAAGGAGGTGTTTAATGACAAAGAGGAGAGGTCGCCCTTAAAAGCAGGTTTCTAGCTTGCTACTCCACACGGGGGTAAGGGGAAAATGGAAAGAAAGAGGATGGTATGATGAGGGGTGATTGTGGTATGGCAAAACGAGTCATTGCACACAATGTCTCGTT